GTGTAAAAATGTGGTCTCACGGGTCTCACGAAAACAGACTGGTCTCACGTGAACCCAACCCTATATATGTATATATATATATACATATATATATATATGTATATATATATATATATATATATATATATGTATATATATATATATATATATAAGACGATACTCAAACGAGAACCACAAACATATTACAAACCCGTGAGAACCATAAAAAATTATATGTTTTTTTTTCATCAAAACCTATATTTTAAGATATTGTTTTACGTATGTTTGTGTTCACCTTCAGAAAATATTACATGTGAAAAGAAATTTGGTTCACCTAGTGAAATGAAAAATACACATAAAATACATTCAAATGGTGAAACAAATACATGTAAAATTGTTATATTATGAAACAAATATACATAAAACAAAATTTTAAATCCTAACATTTGATGAAAAATATCATGTAAAATAATATTTTTGTATCGGTTCTTATGAATTTATAACATATTTGTGGTTCTCATTTGATTTAACCACTATATATGATATGTAACTTTAAGTCTTTAATGTTTTGACCCAAGTTTTAATATTCATTTTACTCCCTGATTTAAAAAAGTTAATTAAAAAAATGTTCTAGAAAATGAAAAATGTAAAAAGACTCTTCTGCCCTCGACTTTAATGGACCTGGTAGATGGTCATTAGACCGAAGAACCAAATCCAACATAGTATGTATATCATAGGAACCAAATCCATAATAAATGAAATATAGGGATGATTTTCGTAAAATAGCAAATCATAGGGACTAATTCCGTAATTTACTCCTTAAAGATGTGTTTTTTAATTTTAATATAGAATTAAAAAATAATGAAATGACTAAAATACCCTACATTTAACTGTAAAAGTTAACGACTGACTGACAGAGAGACCAAAACTGTTGCGAATTGATAAATATTAGGGACCAAACATGAGGAAATGTTTACCAAATGCTTACCCGAATAAGTGTTTCCAAAAATCGAATTATCACTTGCATATAAGATAAGATTTTATTTCACCAAATTGGTATTATATACAATAATTTACCCGGTAAGTATTAAGAGTAGTCGACATTACTTATCGGATAAAACTTTTAGTTTTTACTATATAAATTCGATAAATTCCGCCTGAGTTTTTCCAATTTAGGAACAAGATCCGTTAAAAATTGTTAGGGATCAGGTTGAACATGTTATCCGTCCTCGGTCCGGTCAGGTGGATCGACTACCCACCGAAGTTGGGTCAAAACCCAAAACCATCATCTGTGTTTAGAGATGCCAAAGCTTTAAAAATGAAGTCAGTCCACTGCCATTAGATTACCACCGATCACCATGTCCTCGCACGCTGTAACAGCTGCCACGGCAGCGGCGGCCGCCGTTAAGCAACTCGTATCTCATCCTTCGTTCACTTTCCCGCCGCTGTCTTGCCACCACCGCCGCATCTCCTCTTCCCTTCTCGCAGTCGCCAGTTATTCCACTACCTTATCTGCTTCTACTCGTTATGGGAAAAAGCTAAATAGAAAAGATAATTCCATCAGTAGGAGTCGTAGAGCATTGATAGACTCGGTAGTGAAGAGGAGAACTCGGTCGGATAAAAAGTTTGATGAGGAGAGTGTTCGTCAATTTGGTGACACCGAGAGTCATATTCCGGTGATGCTGGGTGAGGTATTGGAGGTTTTTGATTCCCGCGAGCTTCATACGTTTGTCGATTGTACTCTTGGAGCTGCCGGACATTCTTCCGCCGTATGTGAATACGATTCTCCTTCCTTCTATTTTGATTACATACATTTGCTTGATTTTAGAATTCATTTTGCTGTTATTTGGTTATCTGCTTTCATCCCTAATTAAGGATGCTTCGATATTTTGTGTTTTTTGTATTAACGGAAATTTTCCAATTGGGCAAATCCACTGGCTAACATCGAAGTTACCACCTAATTTTGGTCTTTGGACCTAAACAGACACAAGTTCATCAAAATTCATTCATACAATACAACACTGTCTACGTATGCTGAAATACGAATATGAATTAAATCGAGTAAACACGTCTATTGCATTTTCTGGTTAGAGTGGATCCAAATTTACCAAGAAATATGAGATACAAATGGGCTAGAATGCTGATTGATAGCGCCTGAATCGATTTCCCCACACCTTGCTCAAGTTAGCTTTAAGCAAGAGTGTAGAAGGTTGTTTTTCCCACTTGATCTGCCTGAAGCATGTTAAGAGGCACTATGTGAGAGGTTTAACCTATTAGAGAGAGAATGTATATGTTTGACAATGTCGTTAAAAGATCTGGTTTGTCTCCCATTTACTTTTCTATTTATAGGTTGGGGTATTTGGCCTTGTATCCCAGGTGCTCCTGAAAGATTTGGTTGGGAGCTGTTGAAGCAGAGGTGCCTCTCTCCAGCAGTAGGGTTCTTGGGTTTGGGTCTTCATACTGCATACTAGTGATGGTTTAGGAGGAAACATGTGAACGGAAGGATTCCATGTACAGTGAGGCATATGACCAAGTTGCTAGGAATTCTTCTCAAGTTTAGAGGAATTCTCATATGTCATTCTTGATTGAATCATAGTCATGAAATTTACCTAGTTCATGATATACAACATTATGACATCAAGTAAGCTTGTTGAGATATGACATTCTATATTCATAGATTTAAATTTGAGTTTTCCTTTTTCCATCCATTGGAGATATGTGCAATTGAACATGGTAAGAAGAAAAATTCGAGGTGAGCAATTTGATGAGAATCGGCTCACTTTCTAACTCCCGTATCCAGTTACTATCCACTCTATATTGTTTACCTCTGTAAGTGATGAAATGCTCTCCGTTGTCGTTTTTTCCTGGGTTAATCCCCTTGCTGCTTGTACCTCATGACTTCAGATTTTCCAATGTTCCCTTCCCCTTTATCCATCTCTCATCCCTTTGAGTGAGACTCACCTTATAACTATGAAAGTGGTTAGGCAATCCCTTTGAATGAGACTCACCTTATAACTATAAAGTGGTTAGGCAACGCCTGACCAACGCAACCATCTTTCTGAAGAGGTTGAGGTGGAAATTGCATTGCCTTTGCACCCAGTTGGAACATTGGCTACTAAGTATGTTCCCGCTACTATTATGCTAGCTTTTGTTAAGGTTACGGTCCTATGCCAATTACAAGCTCACCATGAACGTGCCCATGATTAAATGTTATCTGACCATTATGGTACACACCTAGGATGATAAATAATAGAATTTGAAATTAATGTTTAATTCACTAAAGTGACATGCCTAAACCTACATTATACGTATATAATATATACTAGTAGTATACCCGCTGCAATGCAGCAAGGTCTACAAATTGGAAAGTAAAATAAGTTGTAAAAAAATACATTAAGGTATATATTGCTCAAAACGTCAACATGACGATACCTCTGCAAGAAATACGAAGTGATTATAAGTAAATATATATAAACATACAAACACATGACGTAATGAATGTTTAATAATCAATGGTTGCTTGTACCTTAGTCGTGTAAAACCTCTTGATAGACCACGTTTGATGTATAGACTCCACGACGGTTGAATTTTTTGGCAGGTTTAACCAATACCTTTGTAGTTTCTTGTGATATACCTCTAGATAATGCCACGTAAAGTTGGCCATGAGAGAACACCGATTCTGGCAGATAAACACCTACGCTCGGGATTGTTTGTCCTTGAGCTTTATTTATCGTCATAGAAAAGCTCTATCGAATTGGAAGCTGCTTTCGCTTTAGCTTAAATGGGAACATGTCATTTTTTGATGGACATAAAGGAATCCTCAACAAAAACACCCTCTTACCAGCATGTTGACCAACGGCTATTTCAGCATCGTTGACATTCTGTTGAAACCAATTCGCATATCAATCTTGTGCCATTACATAATCCATTTAAAGGGTCGATATTTCGTAGGAGTATGATTGGACATCCAATTTTTAGTCGGAGATAATGAGGAGGCAAACCACTAACAGTTAGTGAGTCTAAAAATTCCATCAGATAGAAGTTGTTCTTATCTTTAGAGTTACAAGCCTAAAGAGTCATTCTTCAGAGTTACAAGGCTGAAGAGTCATTCTTTAGAGTTATACTTTAGAGTTACAAGGCTGAAGAGTCATTTTTCAGAGTTATACTTCAGAGTTATTCAAATACCCAATATCTTTGAAAAATACTTCATGGGTAAAACTTGCATTATACAAAGTAAGACCAACCAGAGCCCCTCTGGTCTTTAAGGACTAGAGCCCCTCTGGTCTTACCAACAAGAGCAAAGCCAACGAAAAACAAGGCCAAACAGAAGCAAGGGCCAACCAGATGCCTTTGGTACCAGAGCCTCTAGTTCGTCTATCCAGAGCCCCTGGGTCAAGAAAATGTTTATTAAAAGATTTAGGTTTCAAATACATCTAGACTTGGTTTTAAAAAACGCCCCACGTCCTTATATATTGGGTGTGGTTACTTTACATGATAAAATTATTAAATCTTGAATCTGAACTTGAAATTTAGCTTTATTTAGTACATATCTTGAATTTACATCAAAGAAGAAACTACTTAGCGAACGTAACCATAACTTGTATTACAACAAAACTTGCTTTTCAACTAAAACCATAATACTTTATGCAAATCCTTCTTACTTCTTTCCTGAGATACATACATGAGATATATAAGCTATAAGCTTAGTGGGTATTTATGGTTTCATGAATGAGAAATTTTCATGATATTTTGTAAATGATAATTCATTAAAGCTCTTGATCATGTATAAAAATATTCTTTATTCTCATGCATAAACATTCATAAAATATTATTCTTTATCATGCATAAAACATTCATAAAATACTATTCTTTATTATTATGCATAAAACATTCATAAAATACTATTCTTTATTATCATGCATAAAACATTCTTTTGAGATCTCACTTGTCACATGCATGTATATCATACTTGTCTTGAGGTTTGCTAACCCCCGGGTCCATAGAAGGCTGCCCTATAAGGTCCGTTTGCAAGACGTTCCTTCTTGTAATATCCCGTACATTGGATGTTATGGTTATACATAACATGTAAAAAATTTCATGCATTGTGTAACACATATGATAACATGTAAATGATTTTCATGTCTTGTGTGTATACTTGTATTAGAACATGTCATCATGCATATCTTGAATATGTATGTGTATCAATATTTTCATGTAAAACAAAGCATGCCAACATAACTTGTAATGCATAAAATACTTCTATTTATAGCATGCATGTATCTCATAAATCACATAAGTACTCACCTTGATTTGCCTACTTTTTCCTTTGATTCCTTTCTTCAAGCTTAATTAGGTAATATAGAGAGATTTCTTATTTTTGGTATGCATAAATAGTGACCCTTAAACTCTTATTTATAGATAAATTCATTGCATTAGCTACTTGTTCTTTTTGCTCTCAAGATTGTACTCTTATGAGAGTTTGACACCTCATCAATAAAGATAAGAGAATCTTGACAACTCATCTCTAAGGATAAGAGAATCTTTACAACTCATGCTTCTAGTACTCCTTGTCATGCTTCCTAGACTTGTCTTGTAATCAATAGTCTTGCCAACTCATACACTTCTAGCCATAACAACTCATCACTAGCTTGCTTAGTCATGCTTACTACACTTGCCAACACACTTCTAGCCTTAACAACTCATCACTAGCTTGCTTAGTCATGCTTACTAAATGTAACAGCTGCTGGAGTACTTGATTATGTATAAATATTTGTATTTAAGGCTGAAATATTGAGATTTATCTAATAAGAAACTAGGGTGTTACAATCCGAGGCAGTAAGGGTCCCGGAAGCCGATGCGTGATGCGTGATGCAGATGCGGATGCGCTCGCATCACGCACGTGATGCGCCCGGTGTTCAAAAAGTACTTGTAAATTAATTCTACATATCAATTTCTACCTTAAAAATACTTACCTATCAAAATACTTCATTTATAACATAAAGTAGTTCAAAAAGTGGCATTAGAATCTTAAAAAGTTCGTGAATCGGAATAACAAAACACACAAACTACTACCATGAAGAACACAAGTAAATGTCTAATAGTCCCCAATCCCTAAACTAAATGACCAAGTGACCAAATAACACTCCCCAAGATCAACATCCTCAAACCCCAACACGGGTTTATCTTCCTCATCATTATCAAACCCTCCAATCCACCTCAACTTCATCATCTTCACGACTCATGTATATGTTCTTAATCTGATATGCGACTTGAGAGGGGCTTCTCTTTTATTAGGTCATTATTACGTTCTATTTTAATCTACAAAAAGCCCAACTAAAAACCTCTAAAGAATGAAAAAGGAGCCCAAACATGAAACATACAGGATGCGCTGATGCACGCATCGTGTGATGCATAGGTGATGCGACCGCATCAGAGAGCATCATGGAATCGCTTCACATCATCCCCTCTGATGCGTTACCTCCAGCGCATCGGAGCGCATCACGCATCGGAGCGCATTATGCGCGCATTTTTAGAACAAGCATCCAGATACCATCTGGTTAAACATTAAGATCAACCAGAGCCCCTCTGTTCCTTTACCATAGATTTGAACTTTTTCCAAGGTTTAAATGAACAACCAGAAGCAAAGCCATCCAGAAGCCAGACCAACCAAATTCCCTCTGGTCCTTAAAACAATAACAAGTTTACTTCATCACATCAATAGGATGCGATAACCCAAGTCCCCAAGGTCATCGCATCACAAGGATGCGATCTATGCTGTTATAGCAGTGAAAATACAAAATTGTGGTCAGGACTGATATTTGAAATAGCGGTTGTAGCGGTGGTATAACGGTCCAAAAATATTGGTTCATATAAAATTTCTTAGAACTATATAATACATATATATATATATATATATGTATGCATACATAAACATATCATATGCATTAATTAAAAATATAGTTTCAACATCAAAATATCAACTTAAACAGGTTTCACAAAACAAAATAGGAAAAATGTTCATAAACTAGCTAATTGCAAGCAATAGGTTCAACATCCGAGTCAACATAGTTCTAAAGAGGCCCAAGCTAAATATCGGAATATCGATCCTCAATTTCACCTCAAATATTGGTCGATTGCGCCGCTAATATCGGAAACGCAAGTTTCACCGCAATTTTATCTTAGTCCGCAATCATAGCGCCACAATTAACAGCATAGGATGCGATAAATATGAATGTGATCAAAAACCCAGATTTCACAACTCATTGCATCCCTCCTAAATTCATCACATTATACACACGACTCAGAAGCAATTTGGACCAAGGATGGAAGTCTGTAGACTTATCTTCAGAGATCTGAACCGTGCTTACAAGACGAAGTCTAAATTTGCAGACTTGTCTTTAGAAGTTTGGAAGTCCAGAATCCAGAGATCTGGAAAAAGAAAACTTCAGAGTTCGGGTGAAAAATACTTCAAAGTTACAAGTCTGAAGAGTCATTCTTCAGAGTTGTACTTCAGAGTTATTCAAATACCCAATATCTTTGAGAAATACTTCATGGGTAAAACTTGCATCATACAGAGCAAGACTAACCAGAGCTCCTCTTTGGTCTTACCAACCAGAGCAAAGCCAACCAAAAACAAGGCCAAATAGAAGCAAGGACCAACCCAAAAGCAAGGCCAACCAAAGGCCCTCTGGTCAACCAGAGCCTCTAGTTCGTCTATCCAGAGCCTCTGGGTCAAGAAAATGTTTACTAAAAGATTTGAGTTTCAAATACATCCAGAGACCCCTCTGGTTAAATATTAAGATCAACTAGATCCCCTCTGGTTCCTTTACCATAGATTTGAATATTTTTCCAAGGTTCAAATGAACAACCAGAAGCAAAGCCATCCAGAAGCTAGACCAACCAGAGGCCCTCTGGTCCTTAAAACAATAACAAGTTTACTTCATCACATCAATAGGATGCAATAACCCAAGTCCTCGCATCACACAAATGCGATAACTCAAGGTTATGAATGTGATCAAAAACCCAGATTTCACAACTCATTCCATCCCTCCCAAATTCATCACATTATATACACCACTCAGAAGCAATTTGGACAAAGGATGGAAGTCTGTAGACTTATCTTTAGAAGTCTGGAAGTCCAGAATTTAGAGATCTGGAGAAGAACTTGGTTTTAAAAAGCGCGATGCGGTCCGATGCGTTCCGATGCGTTAAGGGTCCCGGAAGCCGATGCGTGATGCGTGATGCTGATGCGCTCGCATCACGCACGTGATGCGCCCGGTATTCAAAAAATATTTATAAATTAATTCTACATATCAATTTCTACCTTAAAAATACTTCATTTATAACATAAAGTAGTTAAAAAAGTAGCATTAGAATCTTATAAAGTTCGTTTTCTACTTCTTTGCTGGTTGTCGAGTATCGACAACAACTCACGTCACGTTTTAATTGATATGCGATGCTAGGTCTCTCACAGTGCGACTTCTACTTCTTCACTGTCGGCTTCTTCTATTAGGTCTCTCATAGTCTCACGTTCTATTTTACTTAACTAAGAATCCCAACTAAAAAGCCCAACTAAAAACTGAAAAAGGGAGCCCAAAAATGCAACATACATGATGCGTTGATGCATAAGTGATGCACGCATCGTGTGATGCGTAGGTGATGCGAGCGCATCATGGAATCGCAACTCATCAGACCCTTTGATGCGTTTTCTTCAGCGCATCACGCATCACAGCGCATTATGCGCGCATTTTTAAACCAAGGAGAAGAAGACTTCAAAGTTCGGGTGATAAATACTTCAGGGTTACAAGTCTGAAGAGTCATTCTTCAGAGTTATACTTCAGAGTTCTGGTGAGCTTCTCAGGCGTATAAGTACAAGTCTGAAGAGTCATTCTTCAGAGTTATTTCAAGAGAAGACCCAAAGGGCGCCCAAGTGTCAAATCTGAAGACCTTGAGTTCAGAGTTATTCAAATACCCAATATCTTGAAAAATATCTCATGGTAGTTTGATGATAATTGGATAACCATTGGATTAGATAGTTTTTTTCCTTGCATTCGGAACCGTCATCTATGAATCAACCAATCTAATTTGGATGTAAAATTTTCGGTCCGATTCTATTTGGTTACAATTAGATATGGATTTACGGTGGATCTGTTTTAATCATTGTTTGGAGCTACTTTTCTTTTTTTAAGCTATCTGTACGTGGCTTCTGTCTTTCAAATTAATGAAGCAAGAGGTTAAGTTGTTCCAACCTAAGAGGTTGGTTGATATGAAGTTCTAGAGAACACTTCTCCAAAAGCATGAAAACGTCAAACGTTCTATGGCCAAAGGATTATCGATTGGAAACCTTACGATTTGTGGAAAACAACAAAAGTTCAATTGAAAACTACAATAAGAAAACAAGCATGGTGCATCATCATATCATAGTTTCAATATACGAAGTTTGGCGAGGGTAGGCCATACAACTAATAAGTTATGAACTTTTCATCAAAGATATGTCTTCTAAAAGAAGTCTTGTATCGGCTGCAAAATCGACCGGGGTGACGGCAATCACATTTATCTTTTGGCGTTTCACATTGTTGTACTCTATTCGATGAAATGTACACTTACGTCTTCATCAATTAGCTCCACATTGAAAACACAACCTTCACCCCTCGCGCTTTTGAATGTACGCACACTACTTTTGCCTGTCAACAATACTTTGATTTTCCAAGTCGCTTGATAAGGTTTTAGTGAAGCCAATGGTTAAACTTTCCTCATCATTGCCATTTTCTTAGAGGGTGTCAGGCTACAATAAGAACAAAATAACGCAACTGTCAAAATAACACAGTTTAAATTATGTTATTTTGTGTTAAAAGCTGTAGTTTTTGATTGAATTGAATTTGGCTCCAATTCTAAGTTATGGAATGGCATGTTTGGTATCCCGTATCTTACACTCCAGACCAATTACAAAATTCTTAAACCACCAGATATTTAAATCTTAGTGGCTCTAAGCCTCTAAGATTTCTTATATTTAGGAGATGTTAAAGGGGGATTTTTGCCATGCCACCTCACTGAACTAATTATAAATCATTTCACATTAATTTTGAGGAAATACGCTAATTAAACTCAAACCAAGAGCAAACTAAATAACAACAAGAAGAAGAACACAAACCACAAAGGACATTTTTCTTTACTACCAATTAATGCCAACATGTATCTACATCTTAACCTGAATAACAACAATAAACATACCCACATAAAGTAATCAACTTCACCCTGTTATAATTGAACCTGTTTGTGAAATTAGAAAATTGTTCTAAACCCTAAATCCATTTACAAGAAATTAAAGAAGAAATTAAATGAAATGGGAAGGAAATGCACCTGATTGCAAAATTAAGGTCTGCTTTCGTGTTTTGAGAACAGCAGAGAGCAAGCAACACTAAACAATGCAGCAACAGAGAACAATCGCAAAGCAGAATTAGGCTTGCACATAGCATGAATGTGGTGAGGTTAGTGTTTTGAGAATACTGATTGAGAAGAGCAGAGGAGCCGGACATAAGAGATAATTCAGGGGCGTGGGGGTGGGGAAGAAACGTGGGAGGTGGAGAAGAAACGCGTCAAATGTGGTGAGGTTATTTGCTGTTAAACTTGTACCTGATGCATAAGAGGATGTACCTCTTAAAATTCAACCCATAACCGTTTAAGCTCCTTATATATAGTATAGATATAGGGTTGGGTTCTGGTGAGAATGAAAGTTATGGTGAGAAGGGTAAGAAGGGATCTCCACCCTTGGATCAATCGTAATTAAAGAGTTCCACTAGATCAACACTAATGAGAAGCACTGGATCAATTCCCTTCTAAAGCGCAATTCATGGGTTGGTTTGAGATTAAAAGTGATCAAGGGTCCAAATCCCTTCTTACGCTTCTCATCTTAACTCCAATTCTCACACGATCCTTCGTCTATATATGTATATAACCAAATTGCTTGCACTATGTTTTTAGGCAACTCCTCTATCTCTGTAAGTTGATATATTTTTATTTCTTGTCTTGTGTGCTTTGATGTTCGAACTCGGACCCAGCTCTTTGCCTCTCAATAGTATCTCATGTTAGAAGTTTAGCCAGACCAGCATAGGAAAGGTCTACTGTTTCCTTTTTAAGGTGTCTAGATTTGAGGCAGAATGGAAGGAAGTAACTTTCAGAACGAGGTGGTTATGATGACTGATCTTGAAATTATTGAGAACAATTTGTCAGGATCTTGTATTACTGTCAAACAAGTGTTACATGGGAACAACATAAATGACCCTGGAATCACTGAGTAAACGAATAAGTGGTAAAGCATACTGTTCTGGGGGTCTATGGCATGCAAGTGAGATTTTATTTGGTGCAGGTGGATTGGTCATTTGATGATCTAATATTCTAATGAGTCGATGCTGATCAATTCTTTGCGAGGCAGGTTATCTTTGCAATTCTCTTTTCAGAATTCTTCTTAAACTGAAAAGTCTGTTAACAAAACTGAGAATGCTTTCAACATTAAGTTGCATGTGCCCTATGATTTTTTCCTTTGCATTCCCCTCTTTCTTGGCTCTTTCTGTTACAGTTGTAGCAGGAGACTAATTTCTCTTGGGATGCATCTTCTCATTCAAAATGTTGACTTTTGCCTTTGATGCTAACTTTATGTGCCTGAAATAACAGATAATTCAGGCTCATCCAGAGATGCAGTCATATGTTGGGATGGATTTTGATCCTGTTGCTCATGAAAAAGCAAAAGCTAAGATTGATTTGATCCGAAATGCCAAGTCATGTGACTCAATGTCCAACCTAAAAACACATACCTTTTTGCGAAATTTTAAGAACATCAGGTCCGCACTAAGTGAGGTTGATGAGAAGCTTCTGATTTCAGGAACCGATGGGATCCTAATGGACTTGGGAATGTCATCCATGCAGGTATGCAAACTGTTTAACCTTTTTATAATATAGGGTGCCTGCAATTCATGTACTTGGTACTCTCTTTCTCACCAAGAGTTAGCATGATGATGGTTAAGTACAGCCCTTTTACATATGTTTCGGCTTGTCTTATTATTTTTTAGGAATAGTTTTCTTAAAGATCTGGGATCTTCAATATTAAAGTTCAACTAATATATATACTGAACTTGTCTAGTCATGTTTTTTTCTTTATGACCAGCAAAAAAAAAGTTTATCCATCTAATAGTACCATTCTCATTTCCATATGCAGGTGAATAATGCCGAAAGAGGATTTAGTGTGCTTTGTGATGGACCCCTTGATATGAGAATGGATCCTCAGGTCAGAACAGGCCTGTGTAATTGCCTTGCACTTTTGTTCATTGTTATCTCATTAGTGTTTTAGACATGTAGTACTTCGTGAATTGAAGATGGGAAGGGTGTTTATAGAATGTTGAACATAACTATTGTCCTCATGGTTATAAAGGATCTAAGCAGACGCGATAGAGTAAAATGCCCGATTAGATTAGAATATTATATTAAGGTACACATTTATTTGTTCGAAATGCTAATGGATGTTCATGTTAGACATCAGGACACAAAATTAAAAGATAAACGGATGTGCTTTCATGATACATGCCATATAAGTTAGTAGCTAATGTTAAGAGGGAATTGTCTAATTTCAGATTAATATTTAAAAAAAAAAAATTACTGATGGGTGATTTTGTCGCCCTGCTCAGTTTTTAATATTTTACATGTTTGAGTTGCTCATCACTCATCTCATCTCTTCCTTGAACTCCTGTACCAGCTGTCTTGGCTTTTCACCCATTATTATCTGTAAACTTGTTTTCTTCTTAATGGTTCTTATTGCTAACATTAGCTTGGCATGCTGTTGTTGCAAGTCTTCTAATAAAAGCCAGTTCAGAGAATGTTCATATACTTTGCTCGCTTACTGATTGGAACAGGGATATTACAGGCAAGTCTGAGAGCTGAAGACATACTAAATTCATGGCCAGAGGCCGAACTGGGACAAATTTTACGTGATTATGGGGAAGAGGACAATTGGCGCGCTCTTCAGAAGAGGATTGTTAAGGCCCGAGTAAGCGGGGGATTGCATTCTACTGGTGAACTACTAGATCTTATACGGAGTTCTACACCCAGTGGAAAAGGTGGGTTATCTCCTTGAAGTTCTTAGTTTTCATGCATGCGTGCTAAGTTGCTGAACTTATCTGATCATATTAGTGGATTGTACACACTTTGTTTGTGCGTAATTGACGGTTCTTCAGGGAAGAACTGTGAGAAGGCACCATCTTCCCGCTAATGAGTTTTTTACTCCATTTCCTTTGGTAGACGTGGGTTTTTGTTTTCAACTGTTTTGACTGCAAGATTGTCCCGGATCATTGGGAGTCTATCTAAACTGAGCTAAGGAGTTGCTTTTATAAATACTAGAGTTAACTGCCTGGCGATTTGCCCATTTAGCTGATTTAACAAATATGTCGTCTTCTGGATACAAATTAGGCACATTTGAAGGGTCAGAAAGCTAATTTCTCTTGTATGCTTGCAAATTGCAAAGAGGCTATCTCAGTGACTCAAGCTTACTACCTTCCAATTACGAAGGAGTAAACTTATGGGACGGATTCAGGCGGCCGAGAGTGAAGTAGTCGGGTGAAAGAATTGTGCCAGTATTTAGGGTTTTAATTTGGTTCCGTAGTTTACCAATCTTGCCCATCTTTCTTATTTTTGTCCCACCTATTTTAATGTCCTGTCCGGTCACTCAAACGCACCATTCGTGGACGTCATAAATTTACCCTTTTGGAAGATATCCATATATTATATTGAAATGAACTCATTGATGATAGTTTTGTTATAGGAGGAAGGCAGGGTTGGATAAAGACAGCAACAAGAGTCTTCCAGGCTCTAAGAATAGCTGTTAACGACGAACTGAAGACACTAGAGTCTTCGTTACACGACTGTTTCCGCTGTCTTGCACCTGGCGGGAGACTCGCCGTCATATCCTTCCACAGTCTGGAGGACAGAATTGTGAAGCAAACATTTCTCAACATCATCAACAGCAGTTTAGTTGATGGACCGAAAAGAGAAGCTAACGACGGTGAGGAAAAAGAAGCATGGATCAAACAAATGATCGAAGGGGTCGGTGGAACGATCCTGACAAAAAGACCCATAACGCCTTCCGAAGATGAGGAGAGACTGAACGTTCGTTGTAGGAGTGCTAAACTCAGGGTAATACAAAGAGACTGAGATCACTAGCGTTGAAATGAATTTCTTCATACTTCTTTGAAGCGATGGCAGTTCAAATGGTAAATGATGTTCTCCTTGCCAAACTATATAATGTCTTGTGAGATTTAACCACCATGGGGATGTTTAAGGGGAAGACTTTGTTATGTGACCAAAGAAAGAAGCAAAAGCATACGAGTCTTTGAGGGAAATGCTATGGCTTTTGTTCGTGTGAACTCATATGAGCTTTATAACCAACCGTACTCGTGTGTTTTTTTATTCATTCGGTATATCTTACTTGAAAGTAAAGTCTTAAAGGGGATGTTTGGTTTGATGGAACAATTTTGAGGGATTTGGATTTCATGGAAGGATTTGGAATTGGAGGGATTTAGATTTGAAATGAATTGGAATCTTCTTTCATGTGTTTGGTTTGTAGGATTTGGTATGGAATTGAATTCCATTCTTTATAAATAATTTATAAATAAATATAAAAATAATTAAATTACCGTTTTATTACTTGATTATTACAAAACAAATGTTTTTAACATACTTCAAAACATTATTAGTTACAAATTCTACGAGATATCGTGAAATACCAACCACCCACGTGGGATTTTAAAATCCTATGTTTGTTGGATTTCGATGAAATCCCGCGATTTAGAATCCAGGATATCCTTCAAACCAAACATGGAATTGGAATGAAATTCAATTCCAAATCCGTCTAAATCCATTTCAACCTTACAAACTAAACGAGACCTTAAGAGTAAAAAACTCCTTTTAGGTTTTACGGCTGCTTGGTTTGTGGTTTGTGGGTCTGGAATTGAAATCTTGAGATTTCAATAAAATAAAAGAACCTGATTTAGAAATCTCATGGAAATAGTTGTATTTCATAAGATTTGTTTGTAATAATATATTAAAAATATTTGCTTTATAAATAATAAGTAAAAAGTAGGTAATTATTTTTATAATTATTTATAATATATTTTTGTAAATTATCTAAAAAATATTGAATTCAACCAAATTTTACAAATCAACCACTGGAAATATTCTAAATCCTATAAACCAAACCATCTACAAATCCTTCCAAGATGTTTCAATCAAAAAAAAAAAAATTGGCCAAACTAGATGTACTCCTAAAGAGTTATCATTGCTCATATATTACTGTATTAACTATTTATGGTAAGTAGAGTAATTAAAATTAGATGCTAAAAATATGCAATTAAGATGATTATAGTTTATAATATAACTAGGTTCGAACCCGTGTATTACACGGGGTATTTTAAATGAGTAAAATGAGTTGAGATTTTTTCTCAGGTCTAAAAGAAAACTCTGAACATTAACTCTGAAATACAAGAATTCAGAGTTCTGTTGTTAGGCTGGAAAATAACTCTGGACTTAACTTTGAATAAGAGAAATTCAGAGTCGTCTTCTAAGTCTAGAAAGTGTCTATGAACATAACTTTGAATCACAAGAATTCTGACTTTTTATAATTCAGAAATGTAACTTTGAACTTCAACTCTGAAGAGGAGTTCAAATCAAACTCAAGAACATACACATCGATTCACAAAATTTGTTACACAAAGATCATGTAAACCGTAAATACAAATAACTTACGAAGTGTGCCCATTGATCTATAACTTGACTCGTGCATCGATCCTTTATTTTGGATTCTGAATAGTGATCTTACACAAGAAAATGAAGCGTTGGTGTTTGGGGGATGAAGAGGAGGAGGTTCATTTCGGAGTTTTAGGTTTTTTTAGGCAAAAAGTCGTTGAGCAGAGGGAGGAAGTACAAGGCCGGGATGTTCGTCGAAGAAAAAGAGGGAAACGAGTGGGTTGTATCGAGATATCCTCCTCAAGTCGACAAGCTCAGTCTCGAATTTGGGTTTGTACAGAGAACCATATCCAGCCCCTCATCTCTAATCATGTTGAATCTAGTGGCGATTGATTTCACTCAGACCACCATCTCTAGTCACGCTTCTATGATATTGTGAGGAGGAGTGAAGGTAACAGCCTCCATCTCCGATCCAGTTCCTATCTTGGTTAAGGTCGACAGATCGAAGATGAAGAAGACATGATTAGGGTTTTACTTCATTTGAATTCCTACAAGTCTGAAAGACACTTCAGAGTTAAATTCAGACTTTCAACTCTGAATTTCCTAGACTTTTATGTCTGAAAAAGTCTGTAGAGATCAGACTTAATGGAAATCCAGACTTTTCGTATAGAAATCAATTATGTTAACAGGGACATATGTCAACCAAATAGGCCTCTTTGAACTACTAATGTAAATTGTGTCTACATATATGTTTAGGCGGAAAATCCTTATAACCGTCTCACCAAAAATTGACATGTGGCTTTCAAGTTACTTATTTATTAGATGTATAGATATAGAGTAAAATTCACTTTTTATCTCTAATGTTTGTAATTTTGAATATACTAGTAAAGTATCTGTAGGATGTGGTGTGCATCTCGATCTAAAGTCAAGAACATAAATTGTCAATCATGTTTCATTTTTTTTCCATCATGATGCTAGTTGTATACCTATACAATGTAGTTGAGTGGAAACTTTGAATCGATACCTAGTACAAATAGGTTTTTACCAAATAAAATATATATGTTGATCCATTTTATATTTTTATGTTGAATATGAAATAGAATAAAAAGCAAATTAATGTTAAGGTTGTGAAAATGATTAGTAGATGATATTGTTAAAGGAATCTCCTCATAGTCATCGGTTCTAATTTTTCCACGACTCTTGATACTAATCGAGGTACAAACAAGTTGGTCTAGACACCATGGTTAAAATGACTGTGACTAATTTTAGAGTTTTTTAATTGACGAATACAATACAAGTTGAGATTTATTTCTTGATTGCTACTATGATTTTGAAGTTGAAGTTTGTGGTTCATTAGTAGAGGACTTATTTTAAATGGTTTTCTCGTATGCTAGCATTACATCAAAGGATGAGAATATGTTAAAAAATTGTTTCTCAATAAAGTATAATGATATTCACGGTAAATACTTAAATGCATACTTTTGATTTCAAACATGTCAATCTTTTTTTTTTATAAACTGAGAATCAAGTCATATAAATAATATTTTTTCATTAAAAAACACAACTTATATAGCTCTCTTATAAAAAGAAAAATAAGACAACAATTGTAGAATAGTTAAAAAGGTAGGTTTACAATAGATATGTATGTAGAGGCACGTTCAAACGAGAAGTTAAAAATTTTATGAGAAGGTGAAAAGTGTGACATCATATATGATATACAAGTTTAATCATATATGATTAAACACACCTAAAGGCCGTGTAATCATATATGATATCACACTTCTCGCATTCTCGTAAAATGTTCAATTTCTCGCATGATCCTTCCTCTATGTATGTGTGTGTGTGTATATATATATATACATATATATATATATATACACATATATATATACACATATATATATATATATATATATGACTATGATGCTCTTGGCCCAAGCCTCTTTGACGAGTTGATTACAAGTTTAAGGTTTCCTTCCACCACCAACCCGACCAAGTAATCCAGGTTCTTCGCTTTCGATCAAAAGAATCGAATTTTCGAGCAAGTGAGTTTCTTCATAATAGCAGCAAAAAATGCTTTGTACCATCTATCTTTTTCAACCGGTAAAGATGAATGCCAACTGTTTTTAAAGCAGACTGTTACAATAGATGCCAATCTTTATAAACATAAAAACATTTTCCAAATTCAGACCTTGCAATACGGTCTAATGGTCTAGCATTTTCAAAAATTAAGAGGTAGAGAAAAAGTCGTCATACAACTGAAATATATTGGGTTGGTTTTTTGTTTAGTTTTAATAAGATCCAAAATAACAATCATAAACTTTTGCATGCTCAAAATTTTTACAATGTTTTGTATATGAGTGAGCGATACCCGAAATACCCGATCCAACCCGAATCGAAAAACTGCAGAAAGTCCGACTCTGAAACCCGATATTTTCCTTGGGTAAGTAGGTCCGGGTTGGGTATCCTACTTCCCCGACCCGTCAGATAACCTGATATTTTAATTAATAATTTATATTTTTCCTTTTTAAGTTCTAACTAAATCTAACCTAATTTTCTAATCGACGACTCCTCTCTACACTTCCTCAATCGAACTTCGACCTTAGTCCACGAGAGACGATACCACCAGCCACGACCCCTCCATTAGTTCGGTATTGACATTTTGTTATAGAAATCAAAGAATAAAGAATTCGTTTAATCATTTTGTTACTCACTTAAATACTTAGATTTATGTTTTAGGTACTCATACTTCAACAGGAAGCTGGAAAATCTGGAAATCTAGAATAGACAAGATAAGAAGCTGAAAAATGGGAAAAGATTGGGGACCGAAAACCGACCCGACCCGATACCCGCAGGGGTTTATCTAACATTTGTGGGTTTCGGGTTCCATACACCCCCCCCCCCCCCGGGAAAATCCGATTAGGTTTTCTGTTTTGTGGCCCGATCTGCCCCGTTGCTCACCTCTAATTCTATATGACGATAAAAGTTAAGCAATCAAAACCATCCAAAATTATAATGGTATAATTAGTAAATAAAAAAGAAACACATTTTTAATGTATCTTAATTAATCTATGATTATGTATTTTTTTTTTAATATGATAAAAGTGTAAAATAAAAAATGAAAACGTAAGAAGTATAAACAAATTAATTTATACGTATTCGTTATTTTATTAGTATGATTAAATCTACAAATATTTAATATTGGACTCATTTTAAAGATATTGACGAGACGGTTATCACAATATAATTTGCAAAAAGAGAAATGTATATTTTAATGTATTTATATATTTTAATATGATAAGTATGTAAAATATAACCACAAGGATGATACTTGATTGGTTTGAGCTTGACTCCAAAAATCAAAAGTACCAGAAGGTCTCAGGTTTAAATCTAAGGAGGAATAAAGATTCCCTTGTGGCCACGGAGGTTCAAATGCGGTGACTTCGGGCCATCAGCAAAGCAGGTGGTCGTTCTGGGAGTAGTCGGCTCATATAGCGGGTTGGACATCCAGGTTAATCACAAAAAATGTATGTAAAATAAAAAATGAAAAGGTAAGGAATTTGAAGTAAATTAAATAACTAATTATAAGAATATAAATTAAATGAAATTAAAAAAATATTATATTTTTAATAAAACAAAAAGGAAAAAGAAAAAGAATATCCACGGAGTTTTATTTTTGTTTTAGCTTTATAATTTAAAACAAAAAATATAATATAACTTTACTCTGTAATATATAACTTTATGATATTTATTTAGCATCTTCAATTATTTTTTGTTGATCCTTTACTTTGTATAGCTGCTGCAGGAATGATTATTTCATTTATAAATAAGTATTTAAAATTTATTAGTAACAATGAGAAATAGTTACAATAAACCAAAAAAAATCAAAAATAAAACACTAGAAAAATACAGATAATGAATATAACGATCATGATGATAAAAATAAAATAAAAATAAAAAAATAATAATAATGGAGTATAAAATTTTATTTAATAAACGAAAACTAATGTTAAATATATATTATCTAAAAATCTGTTGCTGTTTAACCCACCCACGTATGGTGATATGGTTGTTGCCTTTTCATCTCTCTCTCACTCACACACACACACACACACACTGATGATTGATCACACACTATTACTATTGGCAACACGGATCTCGTAGGAAGCACAATCTCACACTTATGTTCAAATTTGATTTGATTTTAGACATTCCTTGCAATTATTGAAATTAATTTGTATGCGTATGTTGAGGAGCAGGAGTAATTTTCGATGAAGTTTTTCAAATGTGAAGCTTCCATAGTTTTTCCACAAGTTTTTCCTCACCAGGTACTTTTATCATCATTTTTATGTAATGTGCTTGATGATTATTGTTCAGTTCAGTACATATGATAGAAATCTGGATTTTTCTGCCTTGAACAAGCACCGAAATCATACATTTGGGAACTCCGATTACAGGGCATGGAATTGGAATTTGAGTGAAATCAGTTTGAAATTTTGATCTACTTAAACTTTAAACCAATTCAAAGCTTTGTGCATTTCATGATTTAAAACCCTTTGAAACTTGAAAATGATAATTGTTTACACTGCTTACCTACTTTTTTTTAATAGCTCATCACTGCAGGATTTGCCATTTTCAGAGTGTACGAGTTTTTTTATGTGTTCTAGCTTACCCACCAAGTAATCATTATGAACAATAGTTATGGATCTGAGTGTTTGTGACCGATGACTTGGGAGCAATCTCTAGGAGCAAGTACGCCACTGTTCGTATGGAACAGGAATATACATATACATTAAAGAAGTTGCTAATAGCTTTGGCTAATTAGTGCCAAAACAGAGATATTAAAACCAAAAACACAAAGCAATCAACATATTTTTTATTGACTTCATCCCATTATTCATTCAACGCACAGTCACCATGATATATGTTGTATATAATATTTCTATTAGCTGTGTATCCGTGCAATGCGTGAATTTTAACGATTTTGAAATTTCACCGGCTCTATTAAAGAATGTTTAACGATGATATAAGTTACACTTGGTTTTTAATATTAATACAATTTGAATAAATAAAAGTTATGGTTCCAATTACAGTCTATCGATGAAAAAAATTGTATGACGGTTTAAAATTCAATATATTAAAAATCCAACATATTTAAACGATTCTACAAATGTGTTTGATTTACACAAAGAGCAAAGAATCAAGCGATCGAGAGCGAAACCGAGAGTTCTAGAACAATTGAATGAGAGAACTTTTAATAACTCATGGTGAATATCAGTTTGAATCTCACCTTAGGGATGGGGAGAAGACATAGAGGTATGAGAAGGTGAAGGCACGAGTGAAATGTGTCAAAAGTATCTTCAAAAAGTGTGCATTGGTAACTTGTACTATATGTTACTTTAATTGTAGATTAAGAGATTTTAATACTGAATGCACAAAGTAGTAGTATTTAATGCATTATGAGTTGTTTTTAAGACTTTGTGTATAAATATATAGTACTTTATGCATTAAAAATTGTTTTTAAAACTGTTGATAAATCTGGTTTATAAAGTAGTGTCTGTCCTTGATCTCCTTGTATGATTGTAATACAGTTATCATTTATGGTAGTATAATATTTAATATTCTTCTCTTTTGGCACTAGGCATCATGTAATCAATTTTATTCCAGGAGAAGCTTAAGAGTTTCCAATTGTAGTGATGAGAACTTTTCAGAGTTAAATGTCAAAAGAGCTAAATTAACCGCTAGGAAGCAGGATCGAGTCAAGATTCCATGCTACGACCTCGTAGGAGGAAGAGGGGAAAAGATATATCCTATTAGGGAATTTCTAAGCCATCCATCTGGTATTGAAGCACTTCTTAATACACGTGCCCTGCAAAGTTTTGAACAAATCGATTCTACCACTTACAGGTTCACTTAAGCTGCATTATTTCATGTTGCTTTCTTTATAGTACCTTAGTTTTGCAAAGATATTCTCGGATAATTTATCACACTTCATGGTTACTTACCCTATGTGTAAACCCACTCGAACTAAAACTGTTTCCTTTTTAACGAAAGAACATACCACGACCACATGTAGTCTTTTGTCTAATGAACATATAAAGATATTATTATGGTTGACGTTCTTCATCTTCTGAAATATGTCTTTTTTCTTAGTAACAGAGAAGTTCTGTAGTAGCAGTGGATTCTCGTTTTAAGCCTACATGAGCGGTTAGATTCTTGCTTTTAGCCATCAAATTTATCCGTCTCATATAGGTCACAAGGAGTATTAGAATGCGATGGGTGGTACTCTTTCCCCTTGGAAGAATGCATTACTTAGGAGACCATCTGCCATAGATAGAGACATAAGCGGGATAGTTCACTGGATGCAATAAGAAATAGTCCAGAAAAGTACATGCAAATATGCAATAAATCTGCATTGGGTCACTCTTCCAGAAGGCACACATGTTAAGGCCCATATCTTTCGGGTGGCAAATTTGATACTTTCTAACTAGAAAATTCCTCCAGAATTGTGCTGCTTTCTGATAAAATCATATAAATATGAACTTGCCAGAGACAATATTATATGATAAGTATTCTTACCCTCCCAACTGAGAGTCGTGTATCTCCCTATTTCCCATTTTGTTAAATATGGTAATAATACAACTGAAAAACATAAAGAAATCGACTTTTTCCAAGTGATAATAGAACTGAAAAACATAAACAAATTGACTTCCTTGCAGGTGCACTCTGCCACAACTGAATTTCCTAAAGTTCGAAGTCTCTCCTGTGATAGACTTACGTGTGACCCCAACAAATGAAGATTGCATGGTAGAGTTGTTATCTTGCAAGGTGAGGCTTGGAATTTAAGCTCACAAAACAATCACACCAAAATGATAATGCTCATTATCCATACTATATTACTGAAACTTTTAAGCAAGTGCAAAATCTTTTTAGTATAGTTGATTTCTTCAGATACTCACTCGAGAGTTCATAAAGCTGAGTTTCAATCCAGTAGCTTTTGCTTTCACCTTCAATCGTTGCTAGCACCTCCCTTCATTTTCATGTATTCGTTTCTCTTAAAGAGTTAACTTAGTAAAGTGACTTTGCACAAGAAAACAATAGACGGCCTTAAACAATATTACATTAATGCTTATTACCTCGGCCTCCTGGCATCTCATTTCCTTAAATGTAGTTTTGAAAACAGAGTTGGCGCCCAGGCAGAATACATATTGTTCAAACATATTTCCTTTTGTTCGTACTTGATTGTATTCCTAATTTGATGCCAAGACAAGTTTTCAGCTAATCTTGAAATTGATCTTGTAGTCCGTTTTGCTTGCAGTTTGAGGGCTCTGAAGTCATGAAACGGCAAAACGAACATTTTTCAGGTATTTGTTTAGACCTGATAAAGTTAATTACGATGCTGTAACCTTTGTTGATATAATGTGTATATGTATGTACGTAACTACATACGCATGTATATGAAGAACATGAAATATGAGTTATGACAATTGACAGATGCAAATACTAGGTACTTCTTCTCATTAGAATTGCAACGTTTGACTTGGTACCTGTTTAAGTAAAATTGTTTTGACTATTCAATTTACCTGTAACGATTATAACGAGTAAATAGGCAGTTCAAATTTTTCTGAAAAATTAGATGTTACAAACTTACAATAGGGGGATTTCTTTTAGACAAGCTTCTTTCCTTGAAGTCTAATTGCTGCTTAAGCCCCAGTGCTCAAGTCACTTGGTGAAAAATAAACCTACTGGGCTGCTGCTTCTTTCTTGGATTGGCTAGGGCAATCTGCAATGCAAAGTCTAGAACTGCTGTTCCAAGTTATATCCTTACTTCATATTGAATTATAAGAAGGTAACACCCTGGATTAATTCTGTATGCAGCGGAAATGACAAATTACATTACTTGGTGCACAAATAATTCTGAACCATATCTGGATGTTGACGTGAAGCTGAACCTCACTCTAGAGGTAGTTACTCTTCTTAGACATCTCAAAGATCATTTGCCCATTTGCCCATTTGCCCCACTCCATGTTAGTTTATGATTTATGACATGGGTTTGGACAAACACAACAATTTTAGTTTGTAAGTTACAATTTATTGGTTTGCCTACTAATTCACAAACACCTTGATAATATTAGAGGGTGAAAATGGGAATGGAAATTTTGTTAACTCAAAGAGTTACTTAGCTTAGCATTTTCATATGATATATGGGTCCATGGTTTGCACTTTGCAACTTAGAGGTGTTCTTGGTCTACGAAAATTATCGTGACAATTTCATTGTTGGGCGTATCTTGTTTATTCTATCTATATGTATGATTAATTGTTGTTTTATGTAGATATACACCCGACCATTTAGCTTGCTGCCAACATCAGCTGTGGAGGCTCCAGGCACTTTGTAAGTAGATTTTCTCTGTTTCACTACGTTAAATTAGATTATATAATTTCATGTCCAAGCTTAAAGTGAAAAGATCAATATATTATATATACATGTCAAATGTAACATAGAAAGTAGTAAGTTGACAACCAAAGTCAAAGTATGACCTACTAATAAAAAATGGAGGTAAACACCATTTATAAAAATTGTCCTCTTTAAAGATCAGAAAGCCCAAGAGTTATGGTTCGCTGTGGTGGCAGTTAGTTTGAGTTCATGTCTCTGGAGCTGATTTTAGGCAGAAACATGCATCTTTAACAATGAATTATGGTGGCATGCAGAATGATGCAAGCTTTAGTTGACAGACTTGTACCACTGCTACTGCAACAGTTGATACAAGATTACGGGCAATGGGTAACACAGAACCCTGAATGGAGTCTCGTGCTACCAGATGCTTAATATTCACAATGGAATTTCCCTCCTCCAGGTACCGCTTGTAAGTAATTCCTGAAAATTTCCATAAATTTAGCATCCCTGCATTGTAATAGGACTTGTGTGGGTGCAAGTGTGAGTGCAACAACCAAGTACTTTCAGCTGTGTTATACATAGGCCATGTAGATCTTGCTTCCAGACCTGGGTAAAAACTGTTCAGGAACCATGATTTCAGTTTTTTATTAGGAATTGTATCAAAGATAGGAGGCAATGCATCAAAACTACTCTTACCAGGTGGTCATCTATATCTACTTGTATCTTGTTACATTAATTCGTTGAATTTGTTGCACATTTCCGGATCAGTCAAACCAAAGATTATATCATCTCATATAACTAAATGGCTGTAAACAAAGTATTATTTGTCGTTGCTTATTAAATCCATTATCAAAAAGAAACTATTTAGTCTATTCTATTATGCCTTAAGAGTTAAGAGTCTCTACTCATTCATAAACTGCCTTTGGAGCTTGTAAGCATAACCTGTGTTTTCATAAATTTTTCAAAATCAGAAGGCTGTACAGCATATAGCTCATTTACAAGACTATCTGGACAAGCACCTTTAGATGGATATCCATTTGGAATAGCTTAAAGCCTAACATTTGCAAAAGCCAATGGCACACATATATAATTTAGCAACCACGGCAATGTTTCGTTAAAGGTATTTAGATTGTTCTTCATTGTACATCTTAATTGCTAATTTGGTCTTGTTTTCTGTGACCTGTCTAATACATATGACAGCAGATTCTGAACTTTATTACCAGCAGACTGATTTGCTTCTTCTTGCATGACTAATACCTGATTTTAGTCTTCCAATGCTTCATCTTGTATTTAAGTTTCACGTAGACACAAAAACATAGAATGGGCAGAAATCACATGACAATTCTCGTAAGATGATGTTAACATTCTTAAACCAGAAGATAATGATGTTAGGAAACAATACCATAGTGATCTAGTCCAAAACAGCATCTTCCTACATTTAAAATAGGGATAAAGTGCAATTACTGTGGTTTAAGTTGATAACCATCGAAAACAATCTACTTGCCCAGATGTAGTGTTCAAGCCAGTCTGACCTATCTATTTCAGAACCTAAATCTTTCATAGCTTCCTTTGCAAGACCCCATTCCAATCTTCTATTCTATTCAGAACCCTAAACCCTAAATCCAGCTATTGACTTGCAAGATTGCAGTCTTCTATTCACTTGCGTTGTGGTCTTCCCCTGTTGCTTCCAGTCTCATCTTCAGCTGCATGCTTGCAGGAGATGTAAACATCATTTCATAAGCTTGTCAAATAGCATCTCTTTTTTAGGTTATCAAGTTCAGATAAACATCATCCATCATATTATAAGTTATTCACTGTTAAATAAAAGTGCACAGAATACCAAATTTCAACCAATAAATAGATACCTCTTAAGCTGTTACAGGTACATATAAGAAACAAAATTATCTTGTTATGTTTTGAGCTTAAAACCAAGTCCAATCCAGCAAAAATAAGCTGCAAAATCACTAGGCTTACTTCTACAGCCAAGTACAGAAAGCGGATCAGAAACAACTTAAGATTTTAGTTATCAGCTCAATGGTAAGGAGTAGTCTTAACATATGTAGTTATAGTCTTGGAATGAGAAGTCTCAACTGGACGCCAAAAGGCTGCTAATACTATGCTGTAGCTGAGCTTACTGACCACTCACACAAAATAACTGCTCAGCTGATATGTGATTGGCTAATTAGCCACCAAATATATAATTATATCAAGTGAGTTGTGAAGTGAAATATATACACAAAGATTAACATATATAGTACATCAATAGTATATGTAGTTGAATAACTAGTTTCTGAATAGATGCAGTTAATAGCCTTGGTGTGATCCTAATTCCACTTCCACATAAAAGACTGTTAACACAACAATGTTGGTGAGCTTACTGACCATCCACATAGTGAATGGCTAATTAGTCACCTGTGATTATAAGATAAACCTGATCGCATAATAGAGAAAGAACAGGGCCGTTTACCGATTGTTTATCCGGTAAAAGTCACCACCCTTTCTAGCTTACCGTATAAGAATCTTAATATTTAAGTGTTTGGTGTAAGTTAAACAACTTTGAGTGGTTTTCCCATTGGAAGACCATAACGACACAAAATAAAGTTATTGGGCAAACACCAATGAACTAATAGTTAAAGGAACAAATGTGTGTAGTGTTTCTTTTGTCTTTCAGACAGACAAGCTTACAGGGTCTAAGGGGTTGTTTGTTTACCTCTTAATATTTCCACTAAGAGGCAACAATTGAATCGTTAAGAGGTGAATCTTATTTGGCAAAAAAAAAATCTGCCTCTTAATAGTTCTAAAACCCTCTGGATGATTTTGTATCCTGAATCTCCCTTAACCATTAAGAGCCCTAATTTCATTGTACACAATTACTAAACAATTATATTTCATTTTGTACTATTTTATAAAATCCTCTTAATCATTTTGACCACTTAATCATTCTGCACCAAACCATTTAACAATTGCCAAACAGCACGTAAGTGACTGTGGTAGGGTTTTGGTAGGGGGGAAAAGGAGTTTTAGCAAAATCACCGCCGCTTTATAGGTCACGGCACCTTAGCTCTTCCAGGCATCCACACCAAAATTATGCCTAAAATATGCAAAAAGAACCCCAACCTTGAAGCCCAGTCAGGGTCTGAACTGAGTCCAGCCAGAAACCCCCCGTCTGGTAGTGATGGCTAAAAACCGGTCCCGGGTCGGACGGGTCCTTACTGGTCTCGGGCCTTATCAGATCTGGCTATAACCGGTCCCGGTCGAAAAAGGTGAGCCCAGTCAAGCTTTATTGTAATCGGCTATGAGCCGCCGGTCCCGGTCATTAAAAAATAATATTTTCTTAATACATTATAAAATTTATAATTGGATCACTCAAAGACACTTTAAAAATGCGTTTTATTATAATTAAAATTACATTGTCTTACAAAATATAGCGGTAACCGAGAATTGTGAACGTTTTTTTGCGTTTTTTTGCAAATCGAGAACTTGATATATAAAACCCTCAACCAAGACACTTGTATATAATGTTTAGAAGGCAAAAAACACAAAAAAGGGCCAAAAAACGGTGATAAACAACTAGTTTTTTGAAAAATAACTGCTACATTTAAAAAAAACAGCTACAATTTTGAAAAATCGGGCCGGTCCATAACCAGTCCCGGCCCCGCGAAATACCCCAAATCCATAACCGGTCCCAGATTTTGGTCCTATAACTAGTGCTGTAAACGAACCGAATTAACACGAACGGAGGCTTGTTCATATTCGTTCGTTTAACTTAATCGAACAAACGAACCAACACGAACGGTAAACGAACGAAAATCTTTGTGTTCGTGTTCGTTCGTTTAGAAATCAGGTGCGTTCGTGTTCGTTTATGTTCGTTCGTTAACATGCTAAACGAACGGGCCAAACAAACATAAATAAATATTATTTGAATTCAAAGTAAATAAATAAAATATTATATATTAAATTTGATGTATAAATGAACATAAACAAACGGTAAATGAACGAACGTTCACGAACATAAATAATGAACGAGACTTTTGTTATATTCGTTCGTTTAATTAAACGAACAAAAAATTTGTTCACGTTAATTCATTTATTAAATAAACGAACTTCCCGTCAAAAGGTTCACAAACGTTCGTTGAATGTTCAGTTCGTTTACAGTCCAACCTATAACCGATCCTTACCGGTAAGGACCGGCTCCGGTCCCGGTTCCAGTCCTCTGTCGGTCACAGGCCGGGCCGGGCCGGTTTGGCTATCACTAGTGTCTAGTGAGCTCAAAGCCCAATCTAGTCCAAGCCTAATCAGGTCTAAATTTTGAAGACAGACTTGGGCCTAGGCCCTACCCGAAGAAGCTTGGATTGGAAAAGCCCCGACCGGAATCTTCTTTAACCATAAAGCCCGGCACATGACTTGAAAAAATTGGACATTTTTTATGCTTAATAAAAACAGGCTTGGAATGCTCGGGCCCAGCCCTAAAAAAATCGAGACCTTGTTTGTCTCTAGATTAAACAAACCTCTAGGATATCGTTTTTTTTAATTTTTAAGGAACAAGCTGGTTACAGTTTTCAAGCATTCAATCCCCATTCATCAAATGCTACTTGTATTCTTGAGCTTCGTACATCAATATTGATTCAAGACCAACTTTGAGCTACATGTGTATAACGGTGGACCCAAAAAATTTGTTGAGCATTTGCATCTTTAAATGGATCAAAGGTCCGTAAAGTCGTACGATATGTTTTTAACCGAATTTTACCATTTCAAGGGGGTTTTAATTTTTTTGGTTGATATTAATAGACTTTTTTGGTTTTGGTTTTTTCATGCCCGAAGCACCTTACATGTGTATTTAAAAAAGGTCTAATTTAGTATATTTATATATCATAAACATTTCTTCTAATTTGATATTTATCGTCTTAGAAAAAACATGTCTAAGGGTCATTTACAAATGCTTACCCGGGTACTTATTGAGTAAGATTTTAGCCCATCAAAACGGTATCATGTGCAACAATTTACCTAGTAAGCGTTAACCGTCGTAAGAGTCGTCCTCACTTACGGGGTAAGACTTTCAGTTCTTGCTTTCTCTCTTACCGGATAAGATTGCATGTTTTCTCTCTTATCGGATAAGATTCTTAATCTTCACCATATTCAAGCTCTTGCACTGATAACCTTTTGATAAAGGATCTAACTATGGCCACCAAAACTTGATATCACCCACCCTCTTCTTCTTTACAGGCTAACTTGGACGATGATCAACTATGGCCACCAAAAAAGGACATGGAAAATAATGTTATGGTTTTTTGTGTTTCTTTGGGTTCTTTTTTTCATCTTCAAGAACACCAACTGCCTGAAAACTAAAACCTAAAACAGCAACATCAAATCTTTGACATATATACCCGTAAATTTGAGGAAGAAAAAAAAAAACAAAGATCTTGATGATATCATTCATTGAATAGTGTTATGAAAAACTGACCAATAAAGTAAAGCTCTGCTTGGCAACAAACTCAATAACTTATCAAGATTTAGATGATGCAACGGAGTTTTCTGCTTCTGGTGGTTTTTTAAGACAAAGATGCAACGGGTGACACCACACCACAACCCAAAGTCTTTGGGATGGATTTTTGCTCTCTTTCTTCGATGAGGCAACCCAACTCCGAATAAGGGAAGGTCAGAAGCGATGGAAAGTGGAGATGGGTGATAGTGAAGGAACGAATATATGGTGGTCGGAGCTCGGAGACGGAGGGGTTTAGTTAACATACTAAATTTTAATACAAATTACTTAATTTAAGTGGACAAACTAATGATGCATTAGTACTAAAGCCTCTAACTTTTCGTTATCACCCCGAAACCCACCCACAATGACAATATTCATCCACATCCATTTCCCTTAGATATACGCCCAATCAACTAATATCGATAAGGATCAATTCTAATTAATGTTTATCACAATCCTTCATTTCTTTGTTAGTATTTGTTTATTTATATATATATATATATAATGAAATATAATATAATAATATACTTTTATTCTTACCGGTAAGAAATGAAAATATAAAAAGACCAGAATACCTTTCACTTAACGCCAAATTTTGACGACCATATAACACCCATGATTTTTACCATGAGAAATGTTACGTAATCTAAAACAGATTTTTCAAAAGCACTCCAAAAATAATGGCTAAATTAAAATTTTAGACCATTTACAGCGGAAGACTTTAAAAGAATAAATATATAACTTAATGTCAGCTCATCCCATACCGGGTTGTTTTACAAATTTATCTATCATAGATGATTGCACCTAAATATTGAACTTAAATGGACTAGACAAATCTCTATGTATGCCCTTCTTTTTCTTTGTCCAACCTGAAACCTTCTGTCCCTGAGATGTATACTATAGTTAACTTATAAAGCTCAGTGAGTTCATGGTTTGCGTGAGTAAAGATCATTTCACATCAGACATATCAACTTGTAAACTTTGTACCAAATAGTATGCATTTTTTGAAAAAACATGCAACACTGAAAGAAAAGAGATTTCATAAATTGTCTGTCAGATATGAGTCATTTAGTCACTGGCATTCCCTGAGTTGTTCGACCTGCATCTGTCTAGACACTCATTACGGGGTTGTGCCACTTGTCATGTGACTTACTTGGTCAAATGCTCATCCGCTAAAACTGATCAGAAAACTTTCATATGAAATAACATGTTATAGTTATTTGGAACCAAAATAAACACATAGCAGACAACTGATCATAAAATAACATAGGAACATAGCAGACAACTCTAGAAAATGATTTTTCTTAACCATAGAAACAAAAATTAATAGAAAACCTTTACGCCTCCTTTTCTGCTGCAAACAATGCCAAATCCATGGTTAATAAGAGAATTTAACTTTCTCAAATCAATATTTGTGGTTTTTACGTATACAAATATTTATATGTTTGGCGATAGCCTACCACAATATATCATGAGAAATGGTTAAGTCTATAATAAAAGAAAGAACTTATTTATATGAATAGCACCTAAGGTATAGTATACTTAACGAATTATTTTAACATTAGTCAACTTTATAAATGATGGATGCATGCAAATAAGAATTCAACATAAATCAAGTTTACAAATGATGGATGCTTGCAAATAAGAATTTAACGCTAGTTAAGTCGGTGGATGATGGATGCAAGAAAATAAAAACGATAAAGACGTGGATATAATTTCAAAACTCAAATATGATAGTTTTGAGATTTCAATAAACCACAAGGATAATATATGTGCTTTAGGGGTTGTTCGGTAGCAGCTTAATAAGCTGTATAGGATGTATGGCTTATTTGGTAAGCCATTCAAGGTTGTTCGATTGTGGCTTAATGAAACAAACGATGGCTTATTTGGTTACCTGGTAAAAAAGTGTGGTTTGCATTCAACCCTCATTTTTCCTTTCTTGCCCTTATGATTCACGTTGCCTCCCTTCTCCTTCCTCAGGCGTGCCTCCCTTCTCCTGCCTCCTTGAAGAAGATGATGGTTTGTAGCTCCTTGCTCCTCCTTTCCATCTCTCGATCCCTCGTCCTCCATCTCTGAAACGAGCTTTCTCTCCATCTCTCATATTTCGAACAGGTTTACTCCATCAACAAAACTATAAATTAAATTAACATAGAAGATTACATGTGTCCTTGATCTTGATTTCGAAAGTTTACACCTTAGCGAGAGAGGAGAGAGGGAGAGACAGAGATCTGCGAGTTGTGGGAGTCTAGGGTTTAAATACCCATTTGGGTTAAAGTCTTCTTTCAATTATGACCACCAAAGTTGTAGGTTTTTACAATATCATTTTTATTCCTTCAATTTTCTCTAATCTGGTCGCTTTTACATTGTAATTGCATTTTTTACTCTACATAAATTTGGAAAACATTTTTATCAAACTATTGTTTTATTCAGACAAAAATAAAGACTGGAGGTAAAATGGTTATTTTATGGCATTCAGACTGTTATTCAGTATAACAAACGAACAACAACTTATCTGTTAATATACATACAACTATATCCATACCCAGAAAACAAACGAACCGATCAGCCCCTTACTCAGATAGCAAAAAGGTTCTTATGTTTAATTTAAAGTAAACTACAAATTTAGTCCCTATAATTTGTTAAAAATAACATTTTTCGTCCTTATAATTTTAAAATTACAAAATCACTACCGTAGTTTGAAAAAACGTCCATAGTTAATCCCTTCCTTTAACAATCATTGAAAAAATTCCATCAAGTAAGAGATATTTTTGTATTTTCATAGACTTTTTTTTTGTCTTTCACTTAATCAAAACTGATTTTATGGTTTAGGTCTCGTAGTTTTTGATTAGGTAAAAGAGGAAAAAAAGAAGTTAATGAAATTTTTTAGCAATTGTTAGAAGGAGAGACCAAATCCATACGTTTCTGCAAGTTACGATGGAAATCAACCAATCTTGTAAGTTCAAAATTTTAGAGATTAAAAAATGTTATTTTCATCAAACCAAAGGGACCAAATTTATAGTTTACTGGTTTAATTTATTTAAAGAAGTAAAAAAAGGCACACACACGCACTCCCATGGTCCAATTTCTCCGTCGGTCGCACGTATGAAGGGTCGTTCTCCCACGTGCGACGCCACTCTGTGCTCATTGGTGACGCTGATGCTCCATATTTAATTCCCCAGCATCTTCTCTCTCTCATGATCACACAGACACACTCGTTTTTCTTATTAAGGGTTTCTCTACTTTACAGCTCAAACTTCCATCCATCTTCTACTTTGCTCAACTTCTCAATACCAGATCCAAACCACGGTGATTACCACTTCTATACTCTTCATCTTTACTTTTTATTTCAGCTCAGATACTTGTAATCTATGGGAATGAAGCCAAATTAGTCCACTTGTAGTTGTCTTGTGATTCTGTCCAGCTACAGTCATGAATTTGTGATTTTCTAGTAGTAAACACCATTATTGAGTTATTTGTGGATTATATTGTCTTAACATGTTGAAGGGCGTGGTTGTATGTTGTTTTGGTATTTTTGCTTATGGTTTTTCTACACCAATGGGTTACAGGACTCACTGAAACAAGGGTAATGTAACTATTGTCTCAAACGCATCTTTACCATGTTATGTGTGTGGGCAGTGTTGGCTTTGGGAATTGGGAATCTTCTTTTATGGAGTCTGGGGGGAATTCAAACATATGGAGTTAAGGCTTGACTAAACTGGATAGCTATCTGAACGTTGTACTTATTGATGGGCAGAGAGGGAGGGACAATTCGGGCAAACGACTGCAGGACTTGTGCACTTGAAAGAAGAGATTAGAATGGTATTCTCATTTTTCATTCTGGATATAAAATCCCTTAAATACTTGACACGTCTTACATACATACACACATTATTCCTAACTATTCATTATTGTTAATTTATATATTCATGTTGTATTTTAGCATTTATGCATATCGGGGAATCATCCATTACCTTTAGCATCACTGGTAGAAGGAAAAATAAAAGAAAATAACTGATAATAAAAGCAGGATAGAAGTTGCAAGATTTATCCACAAAAGAGAACTACTACTGGAATTATGATGTTCTGTATATTTGGTATTTATTAGTTCAATTATGTTGTGTGCTGTAGGGCAATAAAATGTTGGTTTATTACTATTAAGCTAGCGACTTATTGAAAGAAAAAAAATACAGTAACACAATTGAAGAGTGCCTCAGGAAAGCCTTGCTGCCAAGTCACAAAGAGGCGGCAAGTGTGCATGCCTCAGCCATTGGTCCTATGCACACATTTGGCAGCTATGGTCACCGTGTTAGGACCAAGATTTGCAGTGGCCATTTGCTTATTTATTGTTTTTATTAGCTTTGGGTGCTCTGAGTATTTGCTTCTGACTGTTGATCAGGTTAGAGGAGATTCTTTGCTTTATTCTCACTTTCAGCTCTTTGACCTTGTTGTCTGAAATTTCCAAGGATTTTGAGCTTATTGTTTTTTTTATCCTCGTAGATTATTGTTATGTTTTTTTTTTTCTTAACGACCAGTCATGGTCTTTTTGGTTTACTCTCATAAAACATGATCTTGCAGCATAATTTTTTTTTTGTTTAACTAAGTTACATTCTAGGATAATATCGATCACTTGCTTATGTTGCAGGTGCATATCTTATTGTTATAAGCCTAGTCCTAAGCTATGTGCACTTCGCGGGATTTTCTTAGAATATATTATATTTACTTGTTTCATCATTTTGCACCTATTGGGAAGCTGTGGCATATTGTATCTGAAATGCTTAGAAAGCCTGATTTTTCACAAAAAAGAAGGGTATCCTTAATTGATTTTTTTCACTCTTAGTATCCGTTTCATAAATCTTATTTCTCGTGTGGTGATGTCGTGTTGATATGCATCTTTCTTTCCTTTCAGGTTGCAAATAATAATAGTCAATGAACTTGGGTCTTCGGCCCAAAGTAGAAAATCATCTGCTGCTGCCCAGGTTAGACTTCCATCTGAGAGCAATCAAACCAAGAAATTGCTAATTATAATTTATTCACGAACTACTTGCCAATTCATGCTATCTATATGTATATATAATGCAATAATAGTTACTTGATAAAGTAAACTCAGGTAATGCTCACAAAATACTTTATGAATTGAACGATGCCAGAATGGCTTTAAATACAAGAAAATGAAACAGAAACAAGCTAATTTACTGCTAAAATTAAGGAAAACTACTAAAAAAATGGGATAGCAAACGACTCGGTTTATCACGTGCACAGTCTCACTTGACTTGACCAAATCAGCTTTATTTGAATTCTTTATTCCATGAGCTGAATCTCGAATATGCCAACAGAACCCTCCCTCAAACATGACCATGGTTCATGTCTTGTTTGCCCTTAAAAGAACACACTCCAAGCCTTTCTCTAAGCCCTTGGAAAACATCACGATGCAGAGGCTTAGTGAAGACATCCGCCACTTGGTTTCTCGTTTCAACATATTCCGTAGTAATCGTTCCTTTGCTGACCAAATCTCTTAAGAAATGATATCTCACCCCAATGTGTTTACACCTGCCATGAAAAACAGGATTTCTTGACAGTTGAATTGTTGAAGTATTATCACACTTTATTATGTTTCCTCCGACTTGTCGCTCACCAAGTTCTTCCAGAATTTCCCGTACCCAAATCACTTGGCAAGCACATGAAGCAGCTGCTACATACTCTGCTTCTGTAGATGACAGGGCAACTATACTTTGCTTCTTTGATGACCACGAAACTGCAGCTCCATCCCACAATACTAAGTAACTAGAAGTGCTTTTCCTATCAGTGACATCTCCAACAAAGTCACTGTCAGTGTATACTTCAATCTTCCCTTTTCCTCCCCGTTTATACCAAATTTCATAATCCAAAGTTCCTTGAATATACTTCAACACTCTTTTAGCAGCTGCAAAGTGTACTTCTCTGGGTTTTGCCATGAAACGACTTATGAAGCTCACCGCGAATTGTATATCAGGTCGTGTAGTGGTGATGTACATCAGACTACCAACCAGTTGTTTGAATAGAGTTCCATTAACTGGTTCACCACTCTCATCTCCCAATCTGCATCCAGGGACCATAGGATCGACCACTGCATTGCAGTCCATCATCTTGAAACGACTAAGTATATCAATTGCATATTTTCTTTGGCAAATATGAATGCCTGATGAGTCTTGCATTACCTCAATTCCCAGGAAATACCTCATTCTTCCCAAATCAGTCATCTCAAATTCAGCTTTCATGGTTTTCTTGAATTCTTCCATCATCTTCTCATCATTTCCTGTAAATAACAAGTCATCTACATATATGTTTACAAAGAGCAGTTTTTCTCCTTGCCTCTTTATAAAGAAAGTATGTTCTGATATGCTCTTTGTAAAGCCTTTATTAACAAAATGGGCTTCAATCCTACTGTACCAGGCCCTGGGCGCTTGCTTGAGCCCGTACAACGCCTTTTGTTGTGTTCATTGTTTTTGACAGTGTAGCCCTGTGGCTGCTGGACATACACATCTTCTTGCAGGGTTCCATGGAGAAATGCGGATTTCACATCCATTTGGTAGATGATCCATCCTCTTTGTGCCGCCAAAGCTAGCATCAGCCGGATCGTATCCATTCTTGCAACCGGAGCATACACTTCCATGTAATCTACTCCAAATTCTTGACCGTAACCTCTAGCCACCAACCTCGCTTTGTGCTTATCAACTTCGCCCCTTTCGTTTAATTTGGTTTTGTATACCCACTTTACGCCAATACACTTAGCATCTTCTGGGAGATCAACTAGACACCAAGTTTGATTCTTTTCAATCATTTCAATTTCTCGATCCATTGCAGTCTTCCACTTTTCTTCTTTGACAACATCTTCAAAGCGAACTGGATCGTCATAGGATATGTCTACAATATGCACTTCCTCTTCATCTGAGTCAAACTCGTCATCGGTGACAGTCTCGAAGGTAACTTGGAATTCTACGTTGTCTTCCCTCCCTTGATTGTGTAGTATTAGGACCAGGAACATCTGTTGGAAACTCCGGACCCGTGGCACTTGCTGGCGGATTAGGCTCCACGAGCTCGTGAATCTCTGCATCACTCTCATCGATAAAATCATAATTTCCCCATGATATTTCTTCTTCAGTGGTCTGCATTTCTTTTGTTTGATTCCAATCCCATCCTTTATGCTCTTCAAACACCACATCTTTGCTGATTATGACCTTCATGGTTTCTGGATTGATTAATCTGTAGGCCTTTGACTCCTCGCTTACACCTGTCAGAACACAAACAAAACTTTTGTTGTCTAATTTGGTTCTTTTTTGCTTGGGCACATGTACATGGGCCAAACACCCCCAGATTCGAAAGTGGTTGACTGTAGGTTTCAACCCACTCCAGGCTTCTTGTGGGGTTACATCTGGAAGTGCCTTGGTTGTGCTTCTGTTTAACACATAAAAGCTCCAGGTTATTGCTTCTGCCCAAAATATCTTAGGCATGTTCTTTGCAGATAACAGCGTGACCACCATGTTTATAACAGTTCTATTCTTCCTTTCTGCAACTCCATTTTGCTGTGGGGAGAAGCTTGTGGTTAATTGCCTTTTACTTCCATGTTTCCTGCAAAACTTGATGAAATCATTAGAGAGATATTCTCCTCCCCTGTCTGTTCTAAGTGCTTTGATCACCTTTCCTGTTTCCTTTTCTACTTTACTTTTGAACTCCTTGAAGCTTTCAAAAGCTTGTGACTTTTCAGTCAATAAATAGACCCACCCCTTTCTACTATAGTCATCAATAAGGCTCAAGAAGTACCTCTTGCCAGTATGTGAACTTGGGTTTATTGGTCCATATATGTCAGAGTGTATTAACTCCAAAATTTCTTCTGCACGCCAAGAGCTGGTCTTTGGTATGACTTCCTTAGTTTGCTTTCCTATCATACAGTCTTCACACACAGACTCATCAATAATAAACTCAGGTAGATCACGTACCATTTGTTTACGCTGCAGGGTTTTCATGCTGGTCTTGCTAATATGTCCCAACCTTTCATGCCATAGTGTTGCAATGTCATCATCAATTGAATACATGCATTCAGCTGTTTTTGATTCTGTGGTTTCGATAGCATCTTCAATAAGTGGATACATCCGATTGGTACTCATGCTGGATTGAAATACCAATCCTTTGTCTGGATGAAACACTTTGCAAATATCGGATTGGAATAAAAAGGACAGACCTTTCTGCTGGAGTTGTCCGATGCTTAGAAGGCTGTTCTTGAGTTCTGGTACAAAGTATACTTCTCTGATCACATAGGTTGTTCCATTCAAAATTAGCTTTATGTTTCCCTTTCCTTCTACTGTCATGCGTGTGTTGTTTCCGAGTTTGACAATGTTGGAGAAGTTTTGATCCAGTTCCACAAACCTCTCCTTGTCGCTGCACATATGATTAGAGCAGCCGGAATCCAAAAACCACAACCGCCCCTTGCTTTCTTTCTTTGTCTGAGTCATAAAACCATTCTCTTCTATTCCTCCATCAGCCATGAGCATAACTTCCTCATTCTCATCAAAGCCAACATAATTTGCTTCTTTTGCATTAGGACATTCGTAGGAATAATGCCCTAATTTGTGACAATTGTAACATTCAATCATTTCTTTGTTGAAAGACGACTGTCTTCCTCTACCACGACCTCTTCCCCTGTAATTGTATCGTCCTCTGCCTCATCCTCTGCTATTGGAACTGTCACCTGCATCCACCTTCAAAGCTTGTTCCTCTTCTCATTCGTTCTTCTTGAACTTTTGCTCATGAACTATTAGTGTGCTTTGCAGCTCCTCTATGGACATTTGATCAATGTTCTTAGATTCTTCAATCGATACAACTACATACATATACTTTTCGGTCAAAGTGCGAAGGATTTTCTCAACAATTTTGACGTCTGTCATCACCTCTCCATTACTCCTCATCTGATTGGAAATCGACAGCACTCTACCGAAATATTCCGGAACGGTTTCACTTGTTTTCATCTCTAATACTTCGAAATCTCTTCGAAGCTTCTGCAACATCGATTTCTTCACCCTTTCATTTCCTGCAAATCACTTTTGCATCGAATCCCACACTGCCTTCGATGTTTTTCGATCCAAGATCTGCTCAAACGTAACTCTATCAATTGCTTGATATAGATAGTGTTTGACTTGCAGGTCTTTCATTCGAAGCTCTTCTAATTTCTTCTTCTCTGCTTCGCTTTGGGCAACCCTCGCAGTAGGTTCTCTAATGCCTGGATCAATTAGATGCCACATTTGTTTTGCATGCAGCAAATTTTCTATCATCTCACTCCAGTGTTCGTAGTGGCCATCGAACACCGGCACCTTCAACTTATCGTCACTCATTTTCACTCCTTTTGTGAGCGAAATTTGCTCTGATACCACTATGATAAAGTAAACTCAGGTAATGCTCACGAAATACTTTATGAATTGAATGATGCCAGAATGGCTTTAAATACAAGAAAATGAAACAGAAACAAGCTAATTTACTACTAAAATTAAGGAAAACTACTAAAAAAATGGGATAGCAAATGACTCGGTTTATCACGTGCACAGAGTCTCACTTGACTTGACCAAATCAGCTTTATTTGAATTCTTTATTCCATGAGCTGAATCTCGAATATGCCAACATTACTCATTAGCACTTAACACATCTATAGGCTTTATCAGATTTAGATGGATACATCTGTTATTTCTAGGGTTCTAAATTTAGGCTAATGAAAGAAGGAGATTTCTACTACTTATTGCTTTCAAGGCGAGTGATCTCTATCCTTAAAGCAATTTCGCCCCCACCGTATGTGCTTTGGGATTTTGACGAATCGCTTCTCAAGATACAATGAAGCAACGTATGTAGAATGATTACCAACACCGCACTAGTGGTGATAACCCCGGTTGAACTATTGAGTTTCAAGGATTTAAAGAAACCAAGAAATTGTGTTTCTATAGCAACACAACCCTTAGCAATCTGGTATACGAAAAGAGGAAAATGTAAACGATTTTTGGTGTCTATGAATAGGTATATATAGGCATAAGCGACAGCCCTTTGAACAGACACCATTCGCGACGGTTCGAACAGTCACAATTGTTTGAACGGGTGCCAACCGTGACGGTTTAATCCTTTTGCGACGTTTCGAACAGTCGCAACCATTCCAACAGGTGCCATATTTGACACTTGAACCGTCGCCTTTATTCACGAAGAGGTACCATTAGCGAACCGTTGTGTCTATTCACGAAGAGGCACTGTTTCAAGGTACCGTCGCAACTGTCACTAACGAATTATGGACAATCGGTTTGAAGCAAAAGGATTTAGGCGGCTACAAGCGGCTCGCGGTGATGTGTGTGTGCGAAGTGCAAAGTGCGCCATCAAAGCGCCACATTGCGCCCACGCCCACGGTCGCGCGCGTAAGGGTGCTATGCACCCTTGTGGAAGCCCCATTATTTTCCAATATATTAAATTAATATATATCCCCTTATAAACCCACTTGGATTTCACTCTTGCTCCTATGTGGGACAAGGTGAAACCCACCAAAATCATCTTTTCTCTTTTCTTTAAACCTAACCCAAAAGATTTTATTTTTATTTTGAAAATATTCCCAACAACATCTAATAATTTATGTGATACAGTTTGTGATATAGTCGTTTATTTTCTTGTCTTGTTGTAGTTGTTGAAATCGAATTATTTTCTCCAATGAAACTTGTTCATCTTGCAGCTTCTAGATGGTATCATTAATCAGCAATTGTGCGTCCAAGGGAGATTTTTTGACGCCTTCCATCAGATGATATGTAGGAACTTTATTATGCTCAATCAGCACAGCAATGGGCATTCTCCTGAAAATTTTCCTAGACCCATTGCCATTGTACATTATATTGCTATGCTGTTTGATGAACATATGCCAAGGTCTCACTGCTGATGGTATGTCAACTTTATTCCTGCTTAGCTGTTGCGTCTTATCATAAAAAATAAATTACAAAGTCTGCGATTTAAAAAGCCCCTTTATATCAAAATTGTTGATGGATGTATCTTTCTATGACTTCCTTCATTGCAATACCAACACCAACACCAACCACTTATAGATATAACTTTGTTCATTGTACTCCCTCGACTATAAGGATGTTAATTCATCTCAAACACACAATATGTGAAAGAAATAACACCATATGCCAAGTAAATCAAGTCATTTGCACATATGTTTTATGCGTTAATCTTAGTTTTTGCTCTTACTAGCCACCTTATACCTGGCACAGTTAAGTAGTGCGCAATCAAAGCATATCATATCATGATATCAATACGTCTCTTATGTTGCAATCTAAAAAACCTCCTTATTATATTGAAAAATCTGTATAACTTGAGAGTAAGTTCTTGCAAATCAATGACTTCACATGTGGCATCTGGTGCTTAAATTAAGTAAAAAGCTGTTCTACTATCAATGCAAAGCAGAAAGATGCTTAGATGCCATCCTCCTCCATAAACATGTTATTTTTTGTGCTCTTTGTCTAGGCCAAGCTCTTGTTAACTTCCGGACAAGCATTATTAGTTCGGATGGTGTGCTTGGTCAGTGGAGGCCAGAGGATCCTGATCCGTGTGGGTGGAAAGGGGTAACGTGCGATTCAAAAACCATGAGAGTTATATCTTTGTGAGTCATCAGAACCTTATCTTATATGACTAACCTTTTTGTTGGAGCCTTAACGTATAGCATTGAGCCATCATGATATGACAGTCCATTAAGAAACAAAATTTAGCTGCCCCATGCTATTGTATTAGTTAATGGTTTTGAAGGTATTAATTGGCAAACATACATAGCATACGAAGTTGGTGGAAAGGGTATCTTCTCTTTCTGCTTTATCTAGCATTTAATCTAATCCTGTTGCCTGTTGGTTTGTTAATTTGGATATATTATTGCTGATCTTTGCATGTGTATGTATACTTGCATGGCACATGTTAGCATGTTTGTGCTTTATTCCATCCCCTTCCAGTCAAATATTTGGTAAACTACATAACTGCCACAGTTCTTAAATCCTCTGCACCATGTTAGCATGCTAATGCTTCGTTAAGCCTCTCTATGTCGATCTTGTTGATCCTACCTCTGTTTAGTCCGTGTCAGTGCCTCTTTTAAGCCGTTTCCTTTACGGATATTTCCCCAAAATTTGAAACGTTCTCTGGAAGTAATAAAATTGTATCATCATATTCTAATAATTTTGTTTCTTACTTGTCTGTTTTAGTGTGTTCTTGTGTTGTGCATCTGTAATGGCTGATAGGCAATCTGAAGTAATTATGCCAAGAGTGGATAGCTCATTCATTTACTCAATTTCCTTCAGACTTGCTACTTATACTATTTGTATTGGAGTAGGTCTTAATGGTAATGTTGCTTTAAGTTGACCTGTAAACCATGGGTTCGTTGCAGTACATAAGATTTCTTTGTCAGGTTTCTTGTGTGAATTTTGTTGGGTAGAAAAGTTGAAAATGTGTCAAGTTATTCCTCTGGTACATCAACTGGGCATTAGAAGCGTAATTCTACATAATAATAGTTATTACTCTTATTGTTTCTTTTAACCTTGTGTAAGTGTTGTAATCATTGTGGATGTGGTGTTTTGATCTTCCCAGGAATGTTTCTAATCACAAGTTAAAGGGACCTATTTCACCAGATATTGGAAGGCTAGATCACTTGAAATTCTTGTACGCAATTTTGAATTGCTCTTGTATAGTTTGTGTTTGTTTTCTACAAATAGGGTATGCGTAATACAACTACTGATGCTGTATACATAATGTGCTGTAGAGAACTTCATTACAACAACTTTTATGGTGCAATCCCTCCAGAGTTGGGAAATTGTACAGAGCTGCAAGGATTGTAAGCACAAATAGTTCTAATATCTTGATAATATTCTTGTTCTTCTTTCAGTGAATTATGTGGGAGATGCAATATGTGTTTTTGACTGTCTTTGTTCGAAATCTAAATTATTGGTGACGGCTCTCATAAGCCTAACTGATCTTCATGCAATTTCCTTAACACATTAATTACTTCTCTTATTCCAGAACAAGTGTTCAATATTGAACATGAGTGCTAAACCTTGTAATTTAAAAAATCAAAATCCATATGAGAAGTTGACATTTCCATCACCCATTTTTTCATATAAAGTCCTTTTGTGTACAATTCTATATGGAAGTTAAGCTTATGTCACACAATCAATTAGAAATTTATCTTTGAAGACAAGGATGAAACATGCTCACATATTACTATTCTAAATCAGACTTCTAAGTTATCTCTGTGGCAAGATATGACATTTATAATACATAATTGACCAAGAAATGCATGAAAATGACCTTTGGAATTATTTTGAAGTTAGAGAATCCAAACAAATTAGCGGCAGCAATCCTGTATCTTTACTTGTTAGGGAAGTACATCATATGCAAATCTCTTCTAAAAATGTTCTTGAAGACGAGGGTCAATCTGCTTAAACTCCTTTATGGTGATCCCAGTGCCAGCAGTATCATGCCTGCCACACCTCCTTAACCAAGAACTGACTAGAGCTTACCATGTTAATGAACTATCCATTCGTTTTCCTTTAGACACTTCGAGAAGATACCTATGTATGTATTCAATGACTTTCATTAATATTTTGTTTTTAATGGGGAGCAGTCCCTCATCTGTAATGGATTATGTCATTAGGTTTTAAATCTATCGTTAATCTGTGCTTTTCCACTTCACTAGATTTTAGGTAATTTTCAATGTATAATATCCAATGGTCACTCTTCACCAATTGACTTTTAGTTGGAAGCCAACAAGGATACTAGGAGATCCTTTAGCAAGGAAATAGGAGAAGATATCCAGTGACTAGTAGGAAGTGAGACAGGGCATGTGCCTAATAAGTCCAGGATATCAGAATCATATTTCATGGGTTCAAAGAAGCGAACATGAAAGGAACCTTCTTGGGTTCAACTCCAGCTTTGATATCTCATGGTGTGGGAATGCATAGAGGCAGTGCATTTGACAGGCAGGTTTTTAGAATTTAATCCTCTGTTACTGTAACATATATCTGTTTGTACTAAGCATTAGTAAGAAACCAGAGTAATGCCCATGAAGTAGATGATGGATCTTTATTCAGAAAAAGATGATGGATTGTCACACTATGCTTAGGATAATGATTGGAACTTTGCTGAGGCTGAATGATTTGATTGGCTCTGTTTACCAAGTAATGATTGATGGCACCGAGGATAAGGTCTCTTGGAAGGCAAGGGGAGTCCTGTTCTAAGTTTAAGCTTTCTTTTCCTTTTATATCACTGATAATAAGTTCTCACACTTATCTAATTTGCATAGAGGGCTGCTTTTAGAAGCACTATGGTGGGAAAGAATTGCATATTGGCTCATACAACCATTCAGTATCATTCTTGTTGCCTTCCAAAAAAAGATATCATTCTTGTTAGTAAAAAAGAAAACTAATAATAGATACTAAATACTTTTTTCTAGCTCATCTCAGTTGCATTACCTGGAGAATTTGAAGGCAGATTTTTTTATTCATATCTGGAAACTGATTTTCAACCGTTGCCTTTGTGTGCCTCACTTCTTCTAGAAGTATACACCAAACACCATTGTCAATGTGTTTTTGTTAGATATTGTTGTACCGAATTGAATAGTAGAAGCAAGCTTTTGTGGAGTCTGTGTAGGCTTACATGATCACTTCTCTAGTTCTCTTTTACATGTTTTGAACATGGCAACGTCCTCTTGTTTGACTGGCTAGTTTTTGAGATATTGATGAACACTTCTCTTTTCTCCTGTTACTATTTTGACAGATTTTTGCAGAATAATTACTTAAGTGGATTTATTCCTACTGGGCTAGGAAATCTTTCGAAGCTTCAAATATTGTAAGTTAAATTTGTTCAGTAAGTTGGAGAAACATGTATACGTGTATAGATGAGAAAACCAAATGGGTTATGGGGTATGAAAGTTATCTGCAGTTTCTTATGCAAGTCTCATATCAGAAAATTGAGGCAAAAAAAAAGTCTATTTAATTGTTGGGGGTTTCCGTTGAAAAGATGGATAGAAAGTGGTCATTTGATTAATGTCTAACATTATTTAGCACATTTTGGCAATATTTTAATATCACATTTTTCTTATGTTGCTTCAATCTTTTAAGGAAGTATGATGAGTGTTTTTTTTGTATGCATTATTGGTGTTAGCACATTCTTCATATATCGAAGAGTGTTAAAAATAGAGGATGATTATGTCTTCTCAGTATGCATTTGTCTTTATGGTCTTATTAGAGTTCCCTCATGTCCAGGCTTCAGCCCACTGACCCACTTTGTATCTAATCTATTTCCAAGTTGATCAACAAAGTCTTCATGCTTTATTTTACAAGTTCAAATGAAATGGTCCTGACACCAAGTTTGAGGGCAACTTACATTGGAAGTTAGGAAGTTGGTTTTTGATAGACTTCAGAGTATAAAGACATATTCAAGTAGGAAAGAGAGGAGGGAGGATTAATAAGATAAAGATAAAGCAAGTCTTAGATAAGTCATAAGTCCTCAAGTTTACATATAACTATCTTATGTTTATCTTAATTGTTTTATTTGTTTTTCTTTAGGATCCGTGTTATTCTAGGAGTCTTTTACTTATTAGTTTAAATACCTTCATTGTTTACCTTTTTGGAATATAGATCAATTTATTATAATTCAATTTCCTACAATTGAATAGGGAGAGACTGCAGCCTCTCAAAAGTTGTAGGGTATTAATACTCTAATCTTGGCAACCTTTTATCGACTCTTATTAAATTGGTATCAGAGCCTACCGCCGCTGTTCTGGATTAGTAATCGTGTTACTATCCACGAATTACTGTTCACGATCACTGTTAATTATTACTGTTCACGCGATAATGACTCGATCAACAACATTGAGGATGGACGAGGTGGAGGGAAGCTTGGGAATGGTCCAAGCGGAGGTGAACTCGCTGAAGGACGACACACAGAAAGTGATCAAACAAATGGAAACAATGTTGATATTGCAAGAAGAAGCGCTTAGGAGGACGGAGAAGAGTGGGGGAGAGGATGAAAACGAAGACAATGGACAACCAAAAAAGGCGGACTATCACGTAGACAAAAACTACTCGTAGGTTTCTTGTGATAAGGGGGAGGAACTAGAGTTACCTGTGTTCGAAGGGACAGACCCAGACAGTTGGATATTGAGGGATGAAAGGTATTTCGCTCTTAATAAACTAACCAATGAAGAAAAACTAAAAGTCTCGGTCATTGCTTTTGAGGGTGACACCTTGTTGTGGTTCCGGTGGGAGAATAAGAGGAGACCCATGGAAAGAATTAAAAACATCACTGCTTCACAGTTTAGACCAGCGGGGGAGGGATCTTTATGTGAGCAATTCTTGGCCGTTAAGCAAGATGGCACGGTGGCAGAATACAAAAGAAGGTTTGTTATGTTGGCAGCTCCGTTAGAAGGGATTCCAGATGAAGTTTTCGTTTGTCAATTCTTAAACGGGTTGAGTCCACAAATCAGGGCAGAAATTCGCACCCTTGCACCGGCGGGATTGGGAAAGGCTATGGAACTAGCTCAGAGGATAGAAGAAAAAAACAAGATTTTAGCAAGAATAAATAACCCAAAAGGTAGCTGGTTGAACAAGCGTAATGGAGAAGGATCTGTGGGAAACAAGGGATTTGTTGAACCATCCAATAAGAGTAGTGGATAGAGAGGAAAATCTGTCAAGGAATTTAGAAGGTTGTCCAATCAAGAACTTCAACAACGTAGGGCTCAAGGTTTATGTTACATGTGTGGTGAGAAGTATTCTCCGGGTCACCATGCAAAAAGGAGTTTAGCATGTTGGTGGTTCAAGAGGTGAAAGAGTACAACGTCGATGAAGACGCGGAAATGGGGGAGATGACAGAATTGGTTGGGATAGAAATGGGAGGAGAAGTGGAAGTATCATTGAATTCAATAGTGGGACTGTCAACAACGAAGACTATGAAGCTAGAAGGAGAGGTAGAAGGCCAAAAGGTAGTTGTTTCAATTGACAGCGGGGCTTCCCACAATTTTATAGCCACGATGTTGGTTGAGAAACTCGGGTTTAGCTACAAGAATCACAAAAGAATATGATATCTCAATGGGAGCTGAGAAGCCATGAAGGGACGGGGAGTATGTTAAGGGGTGAAGCTAAGTATGCAAGGAAGTGAAGTTGTAGAAGAATTTTTGCCCATTAATTTGGGGAACTCGGACGTAATATTAGGTGTTAAATGGTTGACCTCACTGGGACCAACATGAGTGAATTGGCAAAACCAGGTTACGAGATTCAAAAAGGGAGGGGAAACCCTAACCTTAAAGGGAAATCCAGCTCTTGGCAGATCCCTAGAAACATTAAAATCGATGATGAAGACACTAAGGAATGAAGGACAAAGGGTGTTAATTGAATTAGGAAATGTGGAAGCTGAGAACAAGGGTAGCAAAACGTTATCGGACAACATGGAGAAACTAATAAAGGAGTATGAGGTTGTTTTTTGTATGCCAGACGGGTTGCCACCAAAAAGAGGAAGAGAACATGGGATTGTGCTTAAGCAAGAAGTCTAACCGGTCAATGTCTGCCCTTATCGTTACCCGCAATACAAGAAGGATGAGATCAAAAAATTGGTCAAAAAAATGTTGAGTACAGGAATAATCCAATATAGCCAAAGTCTATTCTCAAGTCCGGTACTTTTGGTTAAAAGGAAGGACGGGAGTTGGAGATTTTGCGTTAACTATAGAGCTTTGAATAAAAATATAGTACCAGACAAATTTCCAATCCCGATAATTGAGGAGTTGCTAGATGAATTACACGAGGCTGCTTAATTTTCAAAATTGGATCTTAAATCTGGCTATCACCAAATCAGAATGAAGGAGGAGGACGTACACACGACCGTTTTTAGAACACATGAAGGCCACTACAAGTTTCGGGGTTATGCCTTTCGGCCTATCCAACACTCCGTCCACATTTCAAGCACTGATGAATGATATATTTTGACCTTTTTAAGAAAATTTGTGTTGGTATTTTTTGACGATATTCTGGTGTACAGTAGGGACGAAAGTGATCATGTAAAGCACTTAAGGGAGTCTTTAAGGTGCTGTTGGAAAACAACTTGTATGTGAACAGGAAAAAATGAGTTCAGCCAAGAAGAACTAGTATATTTAAGGCACGTGGTCTCAAAAAAGGGGGTGTTCATGGATATGACAAAAGTTGAGGCAATGCTCAAATGGCCAACACCAAAAACTGTAACACAACTAAGGGGATTTTTGGGTTTAACCGGGTACTAAAGGAAATTCATCAAGGGGTAGGGGCATATTGCAAGGCCTTTAATGGATTTGTTGAAGAAACAAGGATTCAAGTGGCAAAAGGCAGCTGATGTGGCCTTCGAAGAATTAAAGAAGGCATTGACTTCAGCCCCAGTTTTGAAGCTGCCAGATTTTAGTCAGCCATTTGAAATTGAAACCGAGGCATCGGGCCAGGGCGTTGGGGGCGGTATTAGTGCAAAGGGATAACCAACCGCATACCAGAACCAAGTCTTGGGCCAGGTTGCTCAACAAAAACACATATATGAGAAGGAACTCATGGCCATCGTATTTGCTGTAACAAAGTGGCGACCGTACTTGATTTGAAGGAAGGTCGTTGTAAGGACATACCAACAAAGCTTGAAGTTTTTATTGGAGCAAAGGTTGGTGAAACCACAATACCAGAAGTGGTTAACCGTACGAGTTTGAAATCATTTACAAGGCAGGAAAGACAAACCAAACAGCAGATGCACTATCAAGAAGAGACAGAGTGCTCTACAATGGGGGGACCTCAATGGAGACAATGGGAGACAATCAAAGATGAAATAACCAATGATTCATTTCTAAATAGGGTAATGTTCAAGCTACAATCACAAGAAGGGGCACATACAAGATTTGAAATAAGGCAAGGTTTATTATGGTACAAGGATAGGTTGGTAATCTCGAAGTCATCACAACTGATTCCTATCATTTTGGAGGAATTTCATGCATCACCAATGGGGGAATATTCTGGGGAGGAGAGAACGTATCAAAGAATAGTCTCTGAATTGTTTTGGGTGCGCATGAAGGGAGATATAAGGGAATGGGTCAAGAAGTGTGAGGTCTGTCAAAGAAATAAAAACCTAAGTGGAACACCTGCTGGCTTGTTGCAACCAATTCCACTACCGTTAATGGTATGGGAGGAATTGGCTATGGATTTTATAAAAGGACTACCAAATCGGAGGGCATGGATACAATTATGGTGGTAGTCGATCGGTTAAGCAAATACGCTCACTTCATTCCGTTAAAACACCCATTTTCAGCAGCAACGGTAGCCGAAGTTTTTATACGGGAGATTGTTAAACTACATGGCATTCCGAACTCGGTGATCACAGATAGGGTTAAGGTTTTTCTTAGCAGTTTTTGGAAGGAGATTTTCCGATTATAAGGTACGAAGTTAAAGTTCACCACTGCATATCATCCACAGTTCGATGGACAAACGGAAGTTGTCAACCGCAACATTGAGCAGTACTTTCGGTGTTTTACGTTAGACAAGCCACGACTATGGAAGAGGTGGTTGGCATGGGCTGAATATTGGTACAATACCACGTATCACAGCTCCATTCGTTATTCATCATTTAAAGCATTATATGGGAGAGATGCTCCAACAATATTGCGATTTAAAGAAGGCTCAACCGTTGTTTCAGCCATGGAGCAAATGTTAAAAGACAGAGATGATGCGATTGATTTGCTACTAATGTTCTTAATGCAAGCACAACACAAAATGAAACAACAGGCTGATGGGCATAGGAAGGCGGTAAATTTTGACGTTGGAGATATGGTTTTCTTGAAGCTTAGGCCTTATCGACAGAAATCTTCAAGGAAAAGCAACAACCAAAAGCTGTCCGTGTGTTTTTATGGGCCATTTAAAGTGGTAGGCAAGGTGGGAAGGGTGGCTTATCGCTTGGAATTGCCAGCATCTACACGACTCCATCCAGTGTTTCATGTCTCTCAATTGAGGAGAGCAATCGGACGGTGTGCCTCGTCAACCATATTGCCGAATAGTAGAACCGGAAGATATCCTACGAGTACGAACAATGCAGGATGGAAGACAAGAGGCATTAATCAAATGGAAGAATTTACCTATGTTTGAAGCCTCCTGGGAAGATTGTGAAGTGTTGAAGATGCAATTTCCTTCTTTTCATTTTGAGGACAAGATGCAACTCTTGCGGGGGGGTATTGATAAACTTCAAAGTATAAAGACATATTCAAGAAGAAAAGAGAGGAGGGCAGATTAATAAGATAAAGATAAAGCAAGTCTTGGATAAGTCATGAGTCCTCAAGTTTACATGTAACTATCTTATGTTTATCTTAATTGTTTTTCTTTAGGATCCGTGTTATTCTAAGAGTCTTTTACTTATTAGTTTAAATACCTTCATTGTTTACCTTTTTGGAATATAGATCATTTTTTTATAATTCAATTCTCTACAATTGAATAGGGAGAGACTGCAGCCTCTCGAAAGCTGTAGGGTTTTAATACTCTAATCTTGGCAACCTTTTATTGACTCTTACCAGTTTTCTGTTACAAGTTGGCTTGATCTTGTACTAGCTCTTTCAACATGGGGTCTATCGGAACAGTAAATTGTGAACACTTAAATGTATGAAATGATGCTATACCCTAGCTCTGATAGGACATCTGTGGTAGTAAATTAATGAATATGTTAGCAAATAATCAAATGTGGACTTTCTTAGAAACTGGTGGTACATTCTAAACCAAACTTAAATCACACATCCCAAATGCTGACCTTGAATAATCAACCTGATCACCATAAGCTAACTTTGTGTACATTGCAACCAATCTGCTATCATGTAATATTCTTAAGCAATCATGGGTAGATGCAGCAGTTATGTTAAAGTGAGGGAATAAATCCAGACCAACTGCTTTAAAGGCTATAATGAGACTGATCATAATGCCGAACAAGACAAGATTCTTCTCATATACAGCCAGTTACAAATATATAATGATTTACATGTCTACTTCAATTGTATCTGTTGGTTAGAACATTTCATTCTGCTTTTTTCTGTCCATACTTCTCTCTTTGCATGAGGCTCTTTAGATTTTAATAGGCTTGTCATGTTCCCATACCTGAATTCAACTTTGAGGAACAGAGTGAATTCATCCTCTGTTATCTCAGTTGGGATTCATCTTGAGTAAAGATATCAGAAAAACGGTAGGTCATTTTTATATGAACTTCATCTATTAAAAGGAGAAAATTCCTTCCTATAAGCAGCACCTTACACATGGCAAGGACCAGCCAAATTAAATGATGTTAACATTCTGGGGGAGTCCACTTTTCTTGTAGGTTTTGCATGATTTTAGCGTAAGAGTTCTTTAAAGTTGTATTTTTTGCCATAGTAGCTTAATAAACAAAGCACTCTTGTATTGTTTCATCTAATACCAAGGAACTAATTTATGTGTTGCTTTCTTATGTTGTAGGGATATCTCTAGTAACTCTCTTGATGGAAGTATTCCCACATCAGTTGGGCAGTTGAGGAACCTTGTAAACCTGTAACCATACTTGTTTCTTTTCCCATTCAATCTTTTTTGGATTTTTTGTTGAACCTTCTACTAACTTGCATTCCTTGTGATCCATGAAGCAATGTCTCATCCAATTTTCTGGCAGGGCCAATCCCAACCGATGGTGTTCTTAGCCAATTTGGAAGTAACTCGTGAGTTTTGAATTCTGATCTCCTGTTTATTGCAACGTTTAGTGTATAACTAAGAAAATAAATGTGTACTTAACTCTCAGTGACAAAGTTGGTACTTATGTTTCTCCAAAATTGGGGAAGTTCTGATAATATATTGCGTAAATAGTTATGCTCATCTAGCATTAAATGCTTGATGTTAAGCAGTAGATGTCTTGTGAGTCTCATATAAATAGCAGGAGCCTTAGCAATGTGACAATGTTTATGTTTTGTTTGGCTCCATCACATCAGGTGCTGCAACTTGCCTCATCGCGCATGTCGTTGTATTCCCCTTAGTTCATTACTGTCAGTGCCTATGCTAGATAATGGTAAGCAAGGTTTGTTGTAAGGAAACGGTTGGTTGTAAGGATTCAGGTTGTGTTATGTGTAGAATAATAAAAAAGCCAATTTCATTATGGAGACGGTGACAATGATTGAATTAACTAATGCAGATGTAAAGACAATGAAAAGTTGGAAGTTGTTGATTGGATATACTAAATGGAAAGATATGAAAATTGTGAACTTGTTTACAGTTCTGGATCAACAGCTAATTCTCCATGTTAAGTAGAAAATAGCTGTGTTTATGGCAGGACTGGCAACCACAAATCAACTATACTTGATATTATTGGTTGTGTACTGTGCACAATCCGTGTCGATCTCCACCTCCCCATCTAAACCCTTAGCGCTATTGGGCATGACAAAAGATACCAAATGGACCATCTTCGCATGCAGCTGAATAAATAAGAAATGATAAACCATCAGCAGAGGGCCAGAGACAACACAGTTTCTTCATTAGTTGCAGTCACATTACAATGTTCTATTATTCCTAACTGATTACAAACAAAAGAACAAAAAACACTACAAAAGAGGAGATTTAACTATATCATCTCTGCCTGGGGGACCGATGTGGTTAGCTGCTCAAATTCTCTGGAATCTCTTCCATTGGATGTTGAAGGGTCCTCATGCAGGCACAAACTCTGGTGAATCAAGCACCGAAGTGAGTCGCTAGAGAATTCATGGGTCCTCAAGGATGGTGAATGCATGATAAAAAGTGTTTCTTTCGTTTATGGTACCTCTATTTATACTACCTTATCTCCTGAACAACGTACTGGCCTTAAAACCTTGTAATCGTAGCAACGGTAAGACTATGCTGAGCTGTTGTAGTACCACGCCATTTGTTAAATCCCACCTTACATCTGTCTGAGAGCTACAGCACTAGCACTATTTAATTTAAAAATTAGAGAGAAAGAGAGAGAAGGGAGTTCACCATAGTACTACTTTCCTGGACCATAGTACTTCTAATACTTGACTTGAGGTACTTCACTAGTACTGGTAGGTGCAATTGTATTTGCAATTTCAAGTAGACTGTTCCACAAGATGTGCTGCACAGCTTGTACCCCTATCGTTGCTCCTAGATTACCCAGCATAAGGCAACACTGGCTTTGGCATAGGCTTGTTCCCTCTAATGGTTTTCTTGACTTTATTGTTTTTGCTCTCATTTCATGTCAACACCTGTATTCCTGCAATCACATTTATGCCAAACACTACCCCTGTGTTATATTGTATGAAACTATGTTAAGTGGATGTATTGGATACATTATGAGAACAGTGCGGCAATCACCTACCCAACTAGTTTGTGGTAAAAGAACTTGACTATTGAATTAAACCATGGGTCAATCACTCTCTTTGTTTATAGCATCCTGGAGTGGTTCTTGAGAAGTTTCATTTGGAGCCATGACGAACATGATGTCTAAAACTATATGTGTGTGTGTGTGTTATATAAGCTTTTGTATATTTCTAGACTACATAAAGCAGTCTGATGCAACTGCATATATGAGATATTAAAATGAACTCCAACTTTGCTTGAATACTTGCAGCTTTGTTGGAAACAGCGACTTGTGTGGGAAGCAAATTAATAAGTTGTGCAAAGATGATGTTGGAAGTCAACAGCCAGCAGGTCTCACTTTTTTTTCTTCCAAAAAGTGTTGGTTGATCTTTTGTAATGATTTTATTGGATATGATGGTAATTGGTAATAACTCTCTTTATGAGGCTCTTGACTCCTGTAAGTGTTTGAATTAAGGGAAAGGGAATGAGAAATTAGAGACCCTATGTTTTATTCATCTTACCTAGCTGTTTCTACATTTAGGATAATTACAGCTCTGCTATCTGTGCTCTTTATCCAATTTGTTCCACTTGATAAAATTTGGTTTTGGCGTACTTCATTTTTCAGAGGTTGAGGTTCTATCAAGAAATATTGATTTCTATTACATTTGGTTGAATTTTCATTTACCTTCCTCTTAAAAGATCTTCTACATTTGGTATATATTTGTTGGCTGTGAATTTACAAGCATCCCTGTTAATCTGAGTATCGTGTAGAGGACTAAACTTCGAAAATTTTGTAAGATTTTTTGACAATGTTGAATAAGTCATTAATTGCTGTAAACTCATATAACCCTATTTAGTCTTGATGCCCTCTAAAAAGTGTATATACATCTCATATGGCATGCTGGATCTTCAAAAGATGGAAATTTTTGGGAGTACTAGGAAGAAAGGGGGTTTGTGAAATAATCTATATCTGTAGTTCCAATTTTATTTATAAATATATGATTATGTTGCCATGGAAGATGGAACATTTGTTATACCAAATTGTGGTGCCTTTCCTAGTTGTCATAGCAGGAAAGATTATACATATATATCACTAGTCTTTCCTGCTATGATAACCAAGCTCTTCTTTGGGTATTGCTTTGCAGCAAAATTTATGTGCATGTACTTGGCCATGCATTGAAGTCGATATTATTTTATGTGGTGCATTATCAGATTTGTTTTCATTTTCTCAATCAATATATTATTTGTTCATTTTTTTGTTTTACAGTTGACTGGTTTCTTTTGTTTCTGTAGGGAACCAAAATGTGAAAAGGAACTCGGGTCGGCTACTAATCAGTGCTTCTGCTACTGTGGGTGCATTGCTGCTGGTTGCACTTATGTGTTTCTGGGGTTGTTTTCTGTATAAGAAGTTTGGGAAAAATGATGCCCAAGGGATTGCAAAAGATGTCAGTGGAGGTGAGGTTCTACTAACTGTTTTGATGGATATAAGTCAATGGGAAGTAGGGAGATGATTATCTAGTGGTCTATAATTTTTTTCCATAGTTTAGTAAAACGTACATATATATACAGAACATAGCATAAAAAAGGGTTCATAGCTTATTAGATAGTTTGTAGCCAAAATTAAAAAAGAAAAGAAAAAGAACCTCAACTCGAGAATTGTATCTTATCATGTTTTGATGGAGCTATATGATCATTCCTTCCATAAGGTCAAACTTTTCAGTAGCATCATGCTTTACTTAAGCTGCATCTTAATACGACTTGACTTTTTGTTTAGGCTGTGTATGTATGGCTGTATGCTTCTACCTTTTTGCCCTGTAATTCATATGGAGCTTATATATGTTATGATAAGTTCTTATTGCTTCAGGTGCGTCCATTGTAATGTTCCATGGAGACTTGCCATACTCGTCCAAAGATATAATCAAGAAGTTGGAAACTTTAAACGAGGAGCACATAATTGGTGCCGGAGGTTTTGGAACAGTTTACAAGCTGGCAATGGATGATGGAAATGTTTTTGCCTTGAAACGAATAGTGAAACTGAATGAGGGATTTGATCGGTTTTTTGAGAGAGAGCTTGCAATACTTGGAAGCATTAAGCACAAATATCTAGTGAATTTGCGAGGATATTGCAATTCCCCAACATCGAAACTGCTACTCTATGACTATTTACCAGGTGGCAGCCTAGATGAAGCTCTTCATGGTAATAATATCCTCTCCCCCCTTCTCAACCAAAGTTATGGTTTTATAAGTTGCCAGATTTCACAATGTGCATGAGTTACTAACATGCAAGCGAATTGGCATATCCTGTGGTCTAAGAAAACTATCATAAACAAGTAAAATTTGTGAGATGTTCGATTATTACAACTTCTAAGATCAGATCTTTTTAGTGAAAAATCATTTCTGTAAATATTGCTGAGCATTTGTCTTGGTTAGTTATTTTAAACAGGTAGTAATGTATTTTTGTAAGGAATAACGGTGACAATCTTTCCAGAAAAAGCTGAGCAACTAGACTGGGATGCATGTCTTAACATCATTATGGGAGCTGCAAAAGGGTTGGCCTATTTGCATCATGACTGTTCCCCTCGAATTATACACCGAGACATAAAAGCAAGCAACATTTTGCTGGATGGAAATCTGGAGGCTCGAGTTTCTGACTTTGGACTTGCAAAATTGCTTGAGGATGAGGAATCCCACATTACAACCATTGTTGCTGGAACTTTTGGGTATCTAGCTCCTGGTAAGAACATCAACTGTGGTTGCACATCACATGCCTTTCAAAACAATGTCTTGTGAACAGTTTTCCAGTTTAGTTTCCCTCAAACTGTTCCCTTTTTCTATATTACTTATTTTTGAGCGGAGGGATGGAATTGGCTGGTTTCCAGGGTCTAATCTGGATGTTTCTGGACATATGTGAAACCCATCAAATAAATCTCTAAAAGAGCCCTTGAGGATAGTAGGGAAGTTCCAACATGTATAGTGAAATTTTCCAACATGCCCCCTCCAATGGAACCTAGACGGGCAGAGGGGGCTAGACGGGTACATATTGCCCAGAGTATCGACCCCCCAGAGTGGTAAACCTCGGCTTTGGTACCATGTGAGAATTTGCGGAAACCGATTAGATAACTTTCCAAAAGAACCCTTTTGGATAGGAGGGAGGTTCAACATATATTTAGGATAAATGGTCCAAGTTTGCGGTGATTGAAGATCCTGTTCACTGTCATGATGTTACGTCTTTCGTGTTCTTGAGTAATGAACCATGTGAGGATGTGCAACGATGCCATAAATCATTCATGCATTCTTTTGCTCAAGATATTGTAGCTAGTTGTGTAATTTACCGACATAGCTTTCCTTCAATAATGATCCTATTCCCCTGGTAATTCAAAACCATCTTTCCTTAAATGCATTTATAACTTTTCATGCAGAGTATATGCAGAGTGGTAGAGCAACGGAAAAGACGGATGTTTACAGTTTTGGAGTACTCATGCTTGAAGTTATTAGTAGAAAGAGGCCCACCGATGCTTCTTTCATAGAGAAAGGCCTTAATATTGTTGGCTGGGTATGTCTCTGCTTCACCTTATCGTATGCATTTAACCTTGAAATCATATCTGATCGGTATGCATTCAAGCACGGATCTTGACCTTGTTGAAATCCTTGTTTTATGAAATATTGCTACTACCTATTTGAGTCCCACATTCGCTAGACTTGAACTATTTATGCTCGAAATATGTTGAAACCTCCATTCGCTCCTCAAAGGCTCTTTGAGAGAGTAGTTTCCACATTCTAATATGGTTTCAATGCGAGGGTCTACCACTTTAGGGACTCTACACTAAGGCAATTTGTACTTGTCTAATCCCCTCTCAACATTTTGTGTCTATCTAGCCTCCGTTAGAGTGGGCGTGTTAGGGGTTGTTCGGTTGGTTTTCCATTAAGTCCTGTATGGATAAAGTCGTCTGTGTTGATTAATCTGTCCGGATAATTTTTGTTTGCGAGGGTTTTTACATAGATGGAAGGAGCGTGTTTTTTTAATTTGGAGGGACATGTTTGGAAAAACTTGGCTTTCTGCATAAAGGTCCCCCTAGATGCTTACTGAATAAGCCACTTTCTAATATCATTAAGCCACTACTGATCATGTATAGTTGGCCAAATAAGTTGTGAGTCCCATTAAGCTCGTTAAGCTGCTAACAAGCAGGCCCTTTAAGTCACATACACGCTAAATTTGGACTATTTTTTATCAATGTTAGTTGGAACCTCCCTTCTCTCAAGGGCTTTTTTGGAGAATATTCTAATGGGGTTTCACATATTCTCGTCAATACCAACCTAATTGTTTCTTGGTCCCAACTTTTTTCAGTTGAATCACTTGATAACGGAGGATAGGCAGCATGAGATCATTAATGGGAACCGTGAGGGTGTCGAGGCAGAAACGCTCAACGCTCTACTCTCACTTGCGACTCAATGTGTGTCTTTAAGCCCAGAAGATCGGCCCACAATGCACAAGGTGGTAAAAACACTTGAATCCGAGGTTATGACTCCATGCCCAAGTGACTTCTATGACTCTGCATCCGATTGAATACCATTCTGTGCTTCCATTTCATACATCCACCGCTCGCTAATTGGAGATGAATACAATCACATGGACAACGTTCATTCTGCAAATTCATTTCCCCCTTCATGATATCCATTCTTTGCGCATGCAGACCGACGGTAAGAACATTATCTTATCGTTGCAGCGTCCGCGAATGGTATTTTTCTTCACCTGCTGATGATGATCATGTTTTTGGCTTGTGATATTAAAAGGTTACCCTTTTCTTTTCTCTTGTTATCATTGCAATAACATTTTATGTTGTAATAGCCCCATGTGTATATGCCAACTTTTAATTGTGAGCGTATGAAAAGGATCGTTCTTGGTGATGGCATCTTTGTATAACACGCTTGCTGTTCGTGATTAAAATGCAAGTTTTTTGTTGATTATGTTGGTAACATTCATTTGTCACGGAAGGTGCTCTTATGTCGTCCTTTTTGGTCATCAGTTACGTCTACTTTTTAAAGTATATGATGTTTATATACGGTAAAACTAAAACTTGAACCTTTGATCTACACAAAAGTTGGCTCCACGCCTCTACCTGTAATCTGGGCATCGCTTGGTCAAAGACGGTATAGTTTGAGCTTGTGAAGCATGAGAATCTGACCATACTCAGCCTGTGCCGAGTTGCAGAGTAGGTTATTCGAGCTCGGCTCGAAAAAATTACATGAGGTTCGAGCTCGAATAACTTCTTCAATGTAGGTATCGAGCTCGAGCTCGATGCTCGTTTACGGGTTCATACTTGTGATCGATCAACTCATTTATTGGCTTGAGGTTTATCATTTTTATATTCTTGTATTATTTATAAACATAAAAGCATGTTTGACTCGAAAAAAGATATACTCCTTTGGCTCGAAAAACTTGATCGAGTTTTTAAATGAGCCGAGTCGAACATTGGTTTTATGAAGCTCGACTTATTAAGTTAAACGACTTCTGTTTTATGTTTGAGATCAACTTGAGCTCGAGTAATTAAGCTCGAACTCGAGTAATTCGTTAAAAGCTCGACTTGTTTACACTTAATCATGATGATCTTACGTGTTAGGGTATTTGATAGAAACCTACAAGTTGGAACTTATTTATCATTTTACCATTATTTTTCCACAAGTTGCTACAATAATTGTTCTCAAGTTACAAAGTGCTTGAACTTGTGTTTTTGATATAATTTCTTGTTCCAAAAAATTTTCGTTTGGATATCATTTTATGTTAGTTTCTTCGTGTTCAATATTTGTCCGTGTTCTTGATTTATTTCAAGAGATGGTCTCGCATCATCCCGGTTCAATCATTGGTTCTCAGGTAGGGTCTTCGGCACTCGAACACGTCATCAAAGTAATAAATGACTATTGTTGAAAAACACCCGCTTTGGAAAAAGTTGCAACTTTACAATATTGTTAGGTGAAAAAAGTTGGGCACAATGCCAAAAATGTGGTACACTTTTATGTCATAGCAAAATCACACGTAAAAGTCTAGTCTTGCATTGTAACAAAGACCACTACAGATTCGACTCAAATGGTAAATGGTATAAAAAAAGTAACAAACAAGATGGAGTTATGACGTCAAGTTCAAGCGGAGTATAACAAGAAAGTTAGTGATTGAAGGAGTGTTGTCATTTGGAGATTTTGATAACCGACACTTGACAAAAGTGGATCCAAACGTCGTTTCAATTAAAATACAAAGCAATAAGACATTCAACTTTTGTCCGGTCCTAGAATAAATACAAATACGTTTGAGCAATTTACGACACCACACCCGTGTACCGAATTACATAAATTGCTAATTAGCTGAATAGCTTTGATTAAATACATCAAAGTTGAACTTGCTAACGTTATTTTAACACGTTTAATAGATTTTTAATACACATATTATAATAAAAAAAGGTTGATACTTAACAATAGCAAAGGGTTCAAATGAGGCCACTTTCATTTTACGAAAACGTAAAAACATAATTTTACTATAATCAATCACATGTGATACTAATGTTGTGTTTCTCGAAACTTTTTTTACAAAAGAAAGAAAAGGAAGGGGGGGGGGGGGAAGTAAAAAAAAATACTCGTGTTCTCGAAACTTTTTTAAAAGGAAAAGATAAGGAAATTATTGATAAGTTTCCTCCTAAAACTTTACCCCCGAAGGTGGGAGGAAAGGGAAGGAAAGGAAAGATATTAAATCTTTTTAAAAAATATTAAAATTACAAAACTACTCAATCTTTTGTTCTAAATGATATATTTTAAAGGTATATCGGTAATTCCTTTCCTTTCTTTTCCTCCACTTTCGAGAACACAAATAAAAAAATTCTTTTCCTTTATTTTTTTCCCTGCCTTTCTTTTCTTTTCTCCTCTCCGATTTGGAGAGCAGAGCGTAAATCAGATACATGAACAACCTTTGACGGGACCTAGGTCATGGGCCAAGTCACCCGCGCACCACTGGGTCCCTCACTTGTATTATCATATGTGATAAAGGTGTTCACGTGTTTTTTATGAAATGAAGGTTTTCTCGTTTAGATCGGTCTCATTTCCAGCAAATCCATCCAAAAATGTTAGTTTTTGACCCAAAGCAACACCAATGCACAAATTTAAGGTAATTACATCTCTTCCGGAATGGAGGTAGTTTCTATAGTCGAACGAATTACGAAATTCACAAGGGCGATATAAGTAATTTATCATAAAAAAAAGGCCAATATTCCACACTAAGAAGAAAAAGAACACATAATACATGTAATAGAAAAGCTTACTTGGTTGCCTGTGCAATTATATTGCTTATAGAATTTGCTTCTTCTTTGGCTGCCTCAACTAAAGAATCCTGCAAACACACAAAAACCCAGAAACTTCAACCATCCAGATTGAGGAACAAACGGGGATGGGGACGTGGGCTATGGGACTCTTACCTGCGGAGCTACTAGACGGGCCACCGTCTTCTTGCTTGATTCCTGAAGCTCCCCGGCTATTAGTACCTCATCCAGTATATAATAAGCCTGAAACGGCCAACAACATATTCATAAGTGAATAAAGTACCAACACCCAAACTACACACATAGTTTAAGAGAAGTACAGATAATACTCTTCAACAATGAAGAAACAGTGCGAGAGGGTGACTCTCGTGGACTAAAAACAATATCATTAATATAATTTGTAGTGCTGAATGGACAAGCCGGTAATCCGGCACACATCCCAACTAAAGGGAAATATTGCAACTAAATCGGCACATTCCACAATAGAAATTTTTGCAAATTTTCGAGCTTAAAGAACAACTCTTTTACGAGCTTATGCCAACAATTGTCTTATTAATATGAAACCCGCAATAAGAAACAATGATCAATCTGAAGGCAGAAGTTGAAGCACTCTCTAGCAAGATAATTAATTAAGATGATGAAAAAAATATAACTACAGTTGAAATGGTTGATCTTTGGAATGGTGGAAATGATTTAAGAGAATCCTGACAGAAGGGTCATAAGCAAAAATTGAGGCACGTAAAGATCTTGACTAGTTCCGATACCACCATGTGGCAAATTGGAGAACTAGTTTGGTCGGTTTAAGTCAAACTAATACCGTGAGAACTCTTGGTCATTCCAGAAGCAAATTGAAACTGCTCATACAGGTCCTATTATATTTACATCAAACATACCTTTGTGGCTTCGTCAACTGCTTTGATGTGCCAAAAATCCACCTTCCCAGCGGTAATGTGTCTTCTATAACATATTTAAGAGTAACGTAATTGGGTCGTTTTTGCCCATTGTAAGGTGGGAGAGGTGAGCTTAGGTGATTTAAATTATCATTACATGTGAACTATACAGGAGATGATCCCATAATGTAGCACCATATAGAAAAATCTTTGTTCATAGCCACTCAAAATTAAACAAGGAACTTTGTTGCTATGTTACAACGGTAGTAGTTATGGTAGATTAGTACTAACGCCTATAGGGGCCATCATACCATATTATTATGTTATGTTCCAGTTTCAGAAATAGATTCTTTTCAGAATTACCAAATATGCAACTGTGACTCTTATCCTGGGAGGACAAAAGGGGTAAGGTAAGTCTCCTGCCAAAAGGGGAAGGGACAACTGCATATGTAAAACGATGCTACTCCATCAAAAGAGTCCATGTAACTTTTGAGTGTAAAAGGGAGTTCAAGTGAACATATGGTGGGGTGTTTCAAGGCTGAGAGGGATGTTTTAGTTTGTTGTAGCTTGGATAAAAAAAACAAATACGAATCAAGTAAAGGGATTAAGGAAACGAGTTAAATCATGCTGAGAGAAGACAACGTACCTAGTGAAAATTAAAGACCAGGTCCAGCTCACAAACCTAACATACATAAGTTCCAAGTTAGAGTCAACTTCGATGTATAAATAAGGTCCACCTAAACTAAAATTTCTCTCTCTGTTTTTCTTTGTTTTTGAGACGGTCCTAAGGTAGCGAAATTCCTTGTCGGGTAAGTTCCGATTAACTGATGTTTCAAAATTTAATGACGATAAAAAGAATTCAGGAACAAGCAAATCAAGGCAAGGGGGAAGGGTGGGATTTGAACCCATGACCTCCAATAGGGGATGGCGACAAAAAAACACATTTTCAAATTACTTGGAGGGTAGATGGCTCACACTTCCGAAGTAGCGATCTAGAATTTCAACATAATGATGAATAATTTCAAGGATCTCCAATTCATTGTCTTCCTGGTTAATGCACATACAGAAATAGAGGCTAGCATATCTGAAAAGTAAAAACCCAGTTATCAAAAGATGATCAACACCAAACTAGTTGAACAGGGAGAAGAAAATAAGGATTCTTTGGGAATGGAAACATGGTAGCAATTTTAAGGAATACCTTTTATAAACAACTTTAAATCCCCTCCACTCAACGAAATTGCAAAGCTTGGGGCCGCGTGTAAGAATCATGCCACTGAGCTCTCGTATTACCTACATATAGTTTGCCACCATATCTATGAATGTTATGACTAAGTATACACATATCTTTCTCAGAAAAAAATCCGGCAGCTATATATAATCTGCTGGAACCAAGTAGATACAAATGTTGGTGGAAATAAAAAAGATGGTCTAGTTAATCTTACATACCTTACTTCTTTCTTTCTGAGAATAAGGTGAATACCACTTGGTCAACCTAACTTTTCCTTGTCTGCTTATCAAGAGAACAAAATGAATCTGCAACAAAAAATACAACCTTAGCTACATGGTAATTTGAGAAAGAGGGGGGGAGAGAGAGAGAGATGGAGGAAGTATAGCTTCTATCAGTATATGCTTAAGCAAGACCTTTCCTGTTTGCTTTTAAGTAATGTACAACAATAGTAATGCTCCTAGCAGTGATTATAACCATAAAATATAATATATGACTTACACTGCCACAAGAACTCAAACAACAAAATTCTATAAGGATGAGAAATATCAAATACAGGCC